GAAAGATATTAGTTGGGAATGGTACTGATTAATTTTAGGTGAAAATCTACCGAGCCGTTTTCTTGTAATTAACTGTTGAAAAAGTGTTAAACTTTTCGTCCACATTTAAGCTCATCCTACCGAACCGATTTTAAAAAATCAAAAACTGTTCGAAAGATATTAGTTGGGAATGGTACTGATTAATTTTAGGTGAAAATCTACCGAGCCGTTTTCTTGTAATTAACTGTTGAAAAAAAGTGTTAAACTTTTCGTCCACATTTAAGTTCATCCTACCAAACCGATTTTAAAAAATCAAAAACTGTTCGAAAGATATTAGTTGGGAATGGTACTGATTAATTTTAGGTGAAAATCTATCGAACCGTTTTCTTGTAATGAACTGTTGAAAAAAAGATTTAAGCCGATTTTCATGAAACTTTTTTTGGCGATATACATCATGGTCTTATAGAACTTGCTGTAATATTACGGCCTTACGACAAGTAGTTTAATTTTAAAAAATTGTCAAACTTTGCTAAAATTATTATCGTTTTTCTTAAAGTAGGATTGATAAAGTATATTATTTACACTTTTTTTTTGAATAAGTCGATTATTTACGCATATCGGGAAGTTCATGTAACTTGCCTCAAGGCTAAATACCAAACCAACTAGTTAATTGTTAAATTCTTTATAATCCCGCAAAAATGCCAAGTTGTATATCACATTTATTTTTTAGTATTAATATCAATATTAAATAAATTAATTTTAAATTCAATTAATTTTAAATAATTTTAAATTTTAATATTACTATTAATTAAGCATAAGCTAACCAAATTTATTTATTAATTGTTAAATTCTTTATAATCCCGCTGATTGATCCAGAAAGTAATAAAATTTACACAATTACCGTTACCGCCAGTTGCCGCCATTTTGATGCTTATTGACGCTCACAGTATCCAAAACGAACGGAATTTAGTTATCGATTCTGAGCGCTTATCGGCCAAGTCGAACGCTAAAAATTCGTGCTTATAAAGGTGCGTCCACACCTAACGAACGAACACGAACGAACATAAAAGAACGTACCAGAACGAATGGCAACAGCATAGTGTGGCGCCACGACGATCACGAACGAACATAAACAAACATGGCGAGCAATGTTCCGCAACTTGTCGGTACATCAAAGGGAATTGTTCGTTCATGTTTGAACTCGTATGTGCAGTGTGGACGTCTCAACGAACGCAAACGAACATTTTTGTTTTAATAATTTTAATAAATTAATAATAATTTTTTTAATAATTTAATAATAATGTTAATAATTTTAATGTTTGAAAATTTTAATAATATTTACTTTTAATTATTGTGTACAGTTTGAAAATTTTGAATAAATCATGAAATGGTCAAATGACGTAATTTCATCATTCATAAATGAAATAGAAAAGTTTCCTATAATATGGGAGACTAAAGACCCTTTTTATAAAATTATTAGAAAAAAAAACGATGCTTGGGAAAGTGTAGGCAAAACGTTTGGGATGTCAGAAGCTGCAGTAAAGAAGAAATTGCAGTCATAGATAAAAGAAGAGTATGATTGCAGTCTTTACAAGTAAATAATAAACTTGTTATCATACATAGACATTCAACATATATGTTGAGGATGAGAGTATGAAAATTGAGTATAGTTAGCTCAAGCCTGGAATGTTCAGCTTGCTCCGAATATGAATGCTGAGGAAAGAAAACGACTCAAAATATAAATATTAAATACAATAACTGAGTGAAATTAATTGAATAATTTATTTACAGTATATTTACAAAATATACACGAAGAAAAATTACACAAAAACCAGTGAAAATGCCGTATGATTAAAGCTTACATCCATATCAATAATAAAACTGACGTTTCACGGAACATCTACGAACAACGAAAATTCAAGCGCTCACTGCTTTTAAGCGCTTGTTCAAGTTCGTTCGGAATTTTTCGCGTTCGTTCGTGTTCCTGTTCGTTCTTCTTTGTATTTTCTTGTTCGACATGTTCGTTCGTGTTCGTTCGTTAGGTGTGGACGCACCTTAAGCGTGAGCGCTCACAGCGCGTAAGCGTCCAAGTCGAACGCACCCTATAACTACCAATTTCTAATAAAAATAAAATGCGTACTTAGTTGCCAACCTGATAACTACAAATTTCATTTCCAGTTAAAAGAAAAAAGATTTAGAAAAAAAGATATATAAAAAATAGATATAATTCCGTTCTGAGTTAAGAAAATATTACCTAGCTAAGTAGAAATAGCTTCATGAAAAAACTGAAACCAAAAGTAATCATAAGTACAAAAAATTGCTATATATTATTTATAAAAAAGAAATAGACTTGAAATAACACAACGTGGAGACTTAGGTTTAAAACTCAGTAATAAAATTAAATTAGTTTGAAGGTTCCGCTTTTTTGGCTTATTCCGAAATTTTACTTATGATGTTTAATAACAATTTAATTGCGATTTCATCTTAAAAGTTAGCATTCATATTTTTTCAAGAACAAAAAAAATTGTATGGGGGGGAGGGGCATAACGTTTTTTTAAACCCTGAGGTGGGGCGGGGCCCAAAAAAGGTTGGGAATCACTGCTCTAGACTCTCTATAATATTCCCTTAAACCAATGGGTAGATTTAATGACTTTACAAATAATTTATGATTAATATGATATTAATGTTGAGCAAAAATATATTATACTTATCAACTTCCCGTAGAGTAGTTATAGTAATGGACCGAAAATCGAAAATAAAAATTTTTCCATATCTTCACGTTTTGAAGGTTTCTGAACATTTTGGCATACTTCAGAAAAAAATTGATTGTGTGTGTGTGTGTTTTGTGTGTCTGCATTTTTTCGTTCACGTTTTCAGGCGTACGGATCAACTGATTTGAATGGTTCAATAAATATTCCTATTGATAGGGAGATGTCCTGATTAGTTTTTGGCAAAGGCAGGTCCAACCGCTACTGAGATACAGAGCAAAGAGTGCCAATAGAATGGTATAGAGCAGAGGTGGGAAACCTTTTTGCCATTAGAGGCCACACTTAAATTAGGCAGCAATAAAAGAGGCCGCATAAGCTGATTAACCTAAAAAAGTGACTTTTGTGAAATTATTATAGTTTTTTTTATTTTATTATTGCTTTATACAGAAAAAAAATAAATAAAATACTTCAAAATTTTAAAAAATATCGAGATGTAAAGTTTCTGGGTGTCGAAGGAAATCGAACGAAATTTCATTCACTTTTCTTGAAGATTGGAAAAAAAAAGTTGGTAATTTTCAAACGTATGTAATGAGATAAAATCGACTTCGTTTCGATAAAATCGAATTTTAGTTCGTTTTAATTTCATTTAAACATTAATTTTTTATATAAAAATGATATTTATTTTGAATTTGATTTTCATATTCTTATTATTACATAATTATTTGAAATTAAAAAAATATATGTTATACCATTGAATTCACTGATAGATTTTTATTTTGCAAACTAAGGTGTTAACGGTTAATTTAGGGAATTTCAGGCTTTGGAAAAACCAGATTAAATTCATTTGTGAACTTTCGGTATGAATATTGCTGCTTGTTATGATTCATGACAATAGTTATCATAACAAAAAAAAAGGATTAATGCATTAAACGCAACGTTACCTCATTCCAAAAGTAATATACCTAGACGCTATTGACAGACATTTAAGAATATGATTTAAAAAATATTATTAATAAATGATGTACCTACTCCATTTAGAGAATAGTAAAGTTTACCCATGAAAATAAGCGTATTATTTGATAATATAACAATAATGAACGTGAAAGAAATATATTAATTAAAATATGTATTTATTATGCACAAAATATATTGTTAATTTATATTTTGCATTTCAAATATATACGGGCACATATTTCGCCTACGGCAATTTTTAAAAATATATTTTTGTATTTTATGAAAAAAGGTATAGTTTTGTGCCATTTTATAACTACTTATGGTATCATAAAGTTGCTAATATATCTAGGTAAAATCTGGTTGCTTCGATCTCCGCCAAAGCTGCGAATTTGCTTTTGGTTGGGAGAAGTATAAATTTTTATCATTTTACTACGGATACGCATAAAAATCTTCAACTTGGGTGCTAACGATTTTTTTGCACTGTTAATTTTTTTTATAATACTTCTTGAATCATATAAAAGGCGATGTCTTGCGAAATCGAAAATATTGCTTATATTAAATAATATTAATATAATATATTACATCTCTATCTTGTATCTGCCTAAGAGTCTGTGTTTCAGGCTAGCAATCTAATGTCATGTTAAAATATGACTGTTTTTGGTGGGATTTTTCACGGAACTGGTACGTTGATGTACAATAGTTGTATGAAAGTAACTCTGCTATTTTGTACTAGACGGCATGGGGCCGCACAAGAACCTCCCGGAGGCCGCAGGTTCCCCACCTATACTATAGAGTGAAATAGAAATCGAGGTTTTGATAGAACGAAGCATCCGATTTGAATGAAAAACATTCAGTTCGTAATGATGGGGAGAAGTGGTGATTAGTTTTTGGCAAAGGCAGGTCTAACCGTTCCAAAGATACGGAGCTAGTTGTACAAAAAATAGCAGTTTTTGAGAGAACTAAGAATTTAAATGATTCAAAAAACTTTCTGCTTTTGTTGACGAAACATTTGCTTTTGGAAAAAAAAAATTTTTTTCGAAAAAAAATTTTTTATATAGAAAATAATTCAGATTTTAATTTTAATTCTTGCTAAAGTTCTATAGCTCACTTATATAAATATTTGACAATGCTACAGTATTTATTTATAATAATCTATTTGAAAACATTGACTATTCGTCGAACATTTCGTTACGGCATGGAAAGTTCCAGCAATTTGCCTTAAGGCACGATGCCATACACCACTAGTTTTATAACATGATGGTCATGGCATACAAACTATTGGTACCACAAATAAAACAAATCGATTTTATCAGTATCTGTGGTAACTAGATACGCGTATATTTAATCAATAAAAGAGTTGTTTCCAACATTTGTGAAAACACGCAAAATGCCTCAGGTAAATTATGTAGCTACTAATATAAATATGTTAATTCAATGTTTGATTTTTTTGTTACAGCTACATATTAATTTTTTTCCAAAATAAGAGACTAATACTAATTTTTACTGCGATTAAAAATGGCTGGAAAAAAATCTAAAGGTGGCAATGGTAAGAAAAAAGCATCGAAAGGATCCAAGAGATCGGGGGCCAGAAGAAGCGAAGGAGGCTCCCGTTCAAAATCCCGATGCCAAATGGACATATTCAACGAAGTTGCAATGGAGAACGCTTATTACTTATGCCATAATATACAGGTAATTAAGTCTGATTTACGGTGCAAAAAATTCAAAGCCATCCATTTAGTTATATACAGTGGTACCCCGACTTACGAGCGACCGACATACAATTGTTTCGAGATACAAGGCACCAAAGGAGCAAATCGTTGCATCAATATAGTCCAGTCATTATAGTAAGTTAACCTCGGAAGTCGAGATACCCAGCTGTAAGTCTGTAAATACTTGTATATTGACACTAAAAAGTTGTCTCAAAACCTACATATTGTAGGGTGTGCCTATGTAGGTTTTGAGACAACTTTTTAGTGTCAATATACAAGTGTTTACAGACTTACAGCTGGATATCTCGAATTCCGAGATTGTTACTTAATTTAAGCTATGACTGGACTAATATACAAGCAAAATTCAATATACAAGCTATCAGCGAGCAAGAGTTTTCCATAAAAATGTTAATAGCAAAATGAAAATATAAAAAAATTCGTTAGTTGCTCGTATCTCAAAGAAATTGTTTCTATATAAGTACATTGAAATGCCATTAAATAGTTTCAGTAAAAGTTTAAATACAGTAGGTACATATCTATTATGTGTTACGCTCCATAATTTCACACTTTAATTCAATGTTGTTAAAGTAAATAATAATTTGCACAAATAGCAAAAAAAAAACGCAAATCCAACATATATAATGATACAATCACTATTAATGTATAGTTTACATTTATATCACTAGAATAATCCTCAATATATTCACATCGGTAAAATGTTACTACACAATATTAATATATAAATGAAAAGTCTAACTATAAAATAATTGACTGTCATAAAACAGACAAAATATCTATTATCAACTCTGAAGTCTCTCGTAAGCCGAAGTACCAGCGCATTTAAAAAAAAAAAAAAATTAATAATTTTACCATCTTTACCATTCTCAATGAAGCTTTGCCACTCACCTTATTATTCATACAAAATAATTCTGAATCACCTTTCTTCAGAACTCTTTCTATACTTCGCTTAGCATCCACAATTCACACTATCTTGAAGAAATATCTCATCTCAAATTTTTAGTGAAGCCTGTTTTTGATAAGGTACTGATTTCATTTTGAATGGCTTCAAGATTTTTTGAAACATAAATGTAAGTCCACAAAGTATATATCATAATTATCCAGTTCAATTCTAATTTAGAATCTAAGTTAGAAAGCCCCAATTTTTTTTCCTCATTGACACAAACATCTAGCCTTTCATCTATTTTTTCCTCAATTGTGTAATAGCCACTTCTTTGATAATCAATTTCATATGTCTGCATTTTTATATTTAACATAATATATTGTGTTTTACAGGATGTTTTGAAAACAAGAGGCTTCCCGTGGCCTGAAGCACAGAAGAAAAAGAAAAAGGGTAAAAAATAGGCATGAAAATAATGTGTTAGTTGCAATATAATTGTGGGAAGATATTACATCCCCTATATTATGTTATAGCAATAATGATATTATTAACCATAAAAGTCTGCTTAAAATTTTATTTATAATGCATTGGTGTTTTGCATTATATGCTCTGTAAATTATTGATGCAAGTTTTTGCAAATACATGCTTCGATCACAAAATCAGAGTAAATTGTTACAAATAAATAATGACCACAACACTAATGTTATAACTATAATAAAATATTGTTTCATTTATAAAATCATTTATTACTATGAAATGTGAAAGCCTTTAAATCGTTATCTGTAAAATTATGTACAATAATATCATAATGCGCATCAGGGCAGTGAATTTTAAGTTAATTGTATTTAAACAGTCACAGAAAGATTCCTAGTATAAAACAAGATGTTTTAATGGATTTAAAATTCATGTCACACACTCATTTTAATAATACATATATTTATAAACGCTGGCCGACTGGAATATAATTGTTACTAGTAAATAGTACAATGTAAACAATGCAAATTTTCGTATCACTAAAATTTCAACAACTATTTATATTTGAGGGCATGTTCTACATGTTATTGCGTTCCCTTTGAATTCTTGAAGTATATGTCCGGGATACTAAATTCCATGAGTCCATGTAACGATCCATACACATTGCAACACATTTCTGAAAAATTACATCATAACTAATAACAGGACACAAAGTTAAAACGACAAAAATAGAATATTCACAAAAATATGCTCTTTTTCTAAACATCTTGCATGTAATACAAAAATATTGAAAGACAATAAATAAATAAATACAAATACATTACAACATGTCAAATAAATGCAATTACTATGTATCATGAAAATCTTACTGATTGTCAATGGCAAATAACAGGAAACTTATTAGACTTTTGAGATTAATAGCATATTTCTGTAATCATATAAAACATGCCAGAAACTACTTTTTATACGAGAAGTAATGAATTCAAAAAAACGATTTAGGCAAAAGCATTTCTTGTTCAAATACTGCAAACGCAATACGCTTCAGTTAAAATTTCCACCAAATCATGTATATATCGAAATACATCTGCTTATGAACAAAAAATCCAAAAAAGAAACAATTATTAAACCAATGGTAAACATTATAAATCCTCGTAAACATTTAACAACTAGTAACAATTATGGAATTAAAAATTCAGTGTCATTTCAGAAGTTATTAGAAACTGATAAGTTATAATATTAGATTATGAAATTCTGCTTACCTGTTCAGCATTATCTAAGACTGTTCCTGGCTTGTAAATACATTTTCTAAAGCATTTCTCTGTCATTTTCTGCAACAATTACGCATGAACATAATAAATAAACCAATAAAATAACCTAAAAACCGCTAGTCACAATTATGTAACTTTTAAATCAAATAAATCCAAGCAAATATATGGGTAAAAATAGATATATCAACACATCATTGATATATATTACTATTAAATTCTTAGAATACTGTAAGAGTTATGTGCTAAAAATCAAAATTTAGATGAAGTAATATAGTGCACAATTACCGTGAGCAATTCTTGTGCATTTGCAACGGCAATTTGTTGTTTAACTTGTTCCATTAACTCATCTCGTTGGGCACTTGTTAAATGTCCTGTAGGTAACGCGTCCATTGTTTATGAGATTTTAAATTTAAAATAAATAGTTTCTTTTGAACACGAACACCGAAGTTGTCTTTTTGTTACACGCGAAAAAGGGGCACTGCACTAGTAAACAAGGGTTGCCAGAATAGGAAACAAATGAATAAAAGGTGCCGCACGCATGGATGTTTTTTTACTCGTCGCATGCACTTGTTCATTTACAGCTTCTCATTAACATATATTTTAATTGATTTTCATCAATTAGTAATTTGCTTTATGTTATTAATATCGGGCGTATCTGTGACGTCAAACAAAAACATGTTATTAAAATCTTTTCTTTAAAGTTCAAGAATAAATAAAATACATAACATTACGAGTTACCAACAAAATCGTTCGAAATCTAGAACTGCCCGCCGCCTAAGTGCATTTATGTCATATTGAATTGTTCTTTTTCGTGTTTATTTGCTTAACCTTAAATTTAAGCCGGTAAATTTTATTTCGGATTACCTTTATTTTACTGTTATCATGATAAAAGTTAGTAATATTTGTAGGAATATGTAATATTTAATTGAAACTCAATCGCATTCTTGTAAGTTATGTGATTTCACAGATATGCGCAATTCAATTTTAATAGAGTTTCTTGAGGTTGCAATACATAACATTTTATATCATTCAAACTTATATCCTGAAAACGTTTTTACTCGTAAACAAAAGTATGCCATTTCAATACAAACATGCAAGCATCCAAAAGTAAATGATTACATTAAGCAGTGTATGAATAGCAGTAAACATTTACTTCAATCAAAATATCTACATAAAGTCTTGTTGAAGTTTTTTGACAACGGTGAACTAATGTGCCAATTTGCATTTGTAGTTAAGGAATGTGATACCTCAATAAGGTCAATTATGCAATACAGTAGAACCTCGATTAACCGGACTAATTGTTGTCGATAGGCATCCGGATAATTGAAAATCCAGATAATCCAATGTATGGAAAATAATGATGTGTATTTATCAAAAATAACAAATACATACATAGATATCAACGAAAATCAATGTTTAATGAGAAATTAACATTTCCTTATGTATGTACATATATATTTTCTTAGATTATATTACATACATATACTAGACTGCAGCATAAATCATGCAAAAAATCGAATTGTAGATATGTGCATACATATAACTCTGTCGCGGTTGGTAGTTTGGATAATCGCAAATCCGTATAACCGAGGTCCGGATAATCGAGCTCCTACTGTACATTTTTTTTTACAATAGGTCAAAAATTCCATTTTCGAATTATTTCAGTGACCCCTATTTTTTTAAGGCTGAGAGTCAATTTAGAGAATTTCTGTTGAAGATGCCTTCTATTCAAACTTACTTTAAAAATCCATTATCAGGAGAAGCACATTTTGAAATTGCTTTAGAAACTACTGAAAGAGGATATACAGAAATTACACATAATCATGAATTTCAGGTTATAATACAAGCTTTCTACTTTCACTATCTTTTAAATTATAAGGATTAGTTACAAGTATACTTGAATAAAATTATAAAATTAAATATTAGTGCCTTTCCATAAAGAACATGTTCATTTTTTTTTAAATTGCAATAAAAATATGAAAATTGCATAGCTTTGTTTTTCAAATTTTGGTTTTTGATAAGTAATGTAATATTAAAAAAAAATCTTGTTCCAGGATTTCAAATTTCTACGAACTGAAGATACTGATTCAAAGCAAGTAGCAATTGTTCCAATATCTACCGACTTTCCTGTTGGAATCCATGTTTATGCTGAGATGCCAAATTGAAATTATATAATTCTAATATTATCATAATTATTCTAAATATATTATGAAAAATATCAATACATTACTTAGTTTCTTAACAAATGCAGAAATAATTTCAAATATTGATAACTCGTGATAGCTTCTGAACCCGGTTTAATAATAGATCTCCTTGTTTTATAATAGCTTGGTATTGAGAATTTTTGGTATCAGGTCTGTTTGTTTCAACAATACCACCAACTCTATCTACTTTACAATGAAGTCTGCCAGCTGCAATGAATCTTGACAATTCCCTAAATAGTAAAATTTATTATGATGAATACAGATAATGGTCAAAAAAGACAATTTAATATACTAATTTTTACTTTACAAATGGAACATAGAAAATAATGTGTATATAAATCTATTTAATTCAAAATATGAGTTTTACTACAAATTTAAAATGATTGATAAATTACTTACTGATCAATGAAGTCAATACTGACACCAAATTGTTCAGACATGTATTCTAAAGTTAATGAACGATATGATTCCAAAAGCTGGGAATATGCAAGGATTCTCATTTCTCGTACGTAATACTGATAGTGTGGATGTACAAGGAAATCACAACGAAGTAAACCTTCAACATGGACTGAAAATATATAAAGTGAATAAATATAAATAAAATGCTTTTATCTATTCTTGTAAATGTAATTTTATAACAAATTTCTCTTACTTAGATTCTTAAAAAATTCTCCATAATGACAATCATAGAGAGAAAATAAATAATCTCTCACATCTAGATTAGAGTGTAGTACTTCCAAAATTTCAGACCCTTTTATAATCTAAAAAAAAAAAGACTATATGTATTAAAAATGATCAATAATTTGATACAGTGAATTATTTAACATTTACCTTATCACGTAACTCATTACGAGGCAAGCTAATCATAGAGACATATACTGTATACCTAACAAAAGTATTGTAATCCATTAATTCATAGGATGTAAAAGTGCTCACTGTATCCAGAAAGAATGTAGCTGCACTTTTAAAATCACGAATTGCAATGCTGTATACACCTTGATATACTTTAAGCCTGTTACGTCTGTCCCAATCACCACCTTCTTCTATCAAACTATATACAAAAAACTATATTATTACTCATGTACCACAGACAGTGCTATGTTATGAAAATCTCATTTCCAAGTATAAAATAGTAAATTTGTTTCTTTCATATTACATTATTTCTCACTTGTAATCATATTATCATTGACAATTACTTATCAGGCAGCACAAAAATATATCAATGTATCTCTTTCGATACTATCAAATGACAAATAACATGAATACCATCGAAATCAACATTTTTTTTATGCTTGATTTAACAAATAGTGCCAATTTTCTACTTGAGATAGTGCAAGTGTATTGTTATAGCGTTAAATAATATATTATTTATAATTACCTTTTAGCTTTTTCTATATTGCGTGTGATTAGATCATGGTCTAGGTAAAACAAGCCAATTCTAATGTTGTGAAAAACAATATCTAAGCGATGACCAAGAGAAACAGTTTTGTCATAGGTTTGTCTGAAAGCAGCAATTGCTCCTGCTTTATCTCCTATTCTGCATAAATATTCTGATTTTTTTAAATTGGCTTCTCGAACCTAAATTAAAATACATTTATAGTAAAAATAAGCAACATTAGATTAAAATTGCACAACACAAGAAAAACTTGAGCAGAAAATCTTGTAGGAGGAAGAATATCTACCTCCATCTCTCCCAAATTTTTTTCAGCATCTTCAATAGTTTCATCAAGTTTGACTAATGCTGCTGCATTATTGGCTTTCATTGTTGACAACAAATTTTCATCAACAGTCCAACCTAAATCTTTACAAACTTCAGCATACCACGGTGCCATATCTGCAAAAAATTGTAAAATATGAGTATTCAAAAAAATAATATGGTTCAAAAACATTTTAGTTAAAAGACATTTTTCATATTTCTTACTTTCAGTTTTTATTGCACTGATGAGTTTTTCTTGTATAGTTTTGTCATCTTTATAATCTGGCAAACTAAGTAAAAATTTCCATTGCGCTAATTCTAAATTTGGATTCTTCTCCAAACCTTCCTCTTCTCTATTTTCAAGAGGCATTTTCACAACAAGTCTAACGTATCTAAATGAATATAAATTAGTATTTCGGTAAAATGAATTAGCAACTTTGCTCACGAAACCTCAAAGATTTTGTAAACGACAACTCACTTTCGACGACAGTGAAGTTTGGCAATTGATTTCAAGCGTCAGTGTTGGCATTATTGCTTCACTTCAACATCTTAGATCTTACATACCCGCTACTTTCAAATATGCATTTGATTGACTTTCTCCTCGGCAATACATATGAGAATATAGTATATTTATGCTAACTGCAACCATTTTGTATTTACTTTTCAAAGGACAATCAACGTATGCCGTGCATTGCGTCTCATGGGGTTGATTGAAAATAATTATAATTAATATGATTTTCAAAATTATCTACCTAAAATTTATTTATTTATACAAATCAATTATTGTTTAATTATTTATAACGGCTTATAATGTAATATTCTATATAATTTATGTTAAGATGCCTGTGCTTAACTCTAAAATATCATCTTATCACTATAAAAGATGCATACAGAATAAAAATATGAGAATCTAATTCATGCAATACACTGTTAATAATGAAAAGTGCTTTAATACCTTTTGGAAATTTTAGTCTGTTCATCAAATATAAATAAAATATTTTAGTAATTAAATAACTTCATTATTTTCCATCACAATAAAACCTTAAAATGGCAATAAAAAGTAGAAATTTGAATGTAGAATATTCTACATTCTACAATTACAATTATATCTACAATATTTATTAAACACAAGAAGTATTAGAAAACTTTGACCATAGTGCACCAAAAATTAAAAACACTTTTATTTTCCTGTTATATTAACTTATGTTCGTAGCCAATATATATCTTACAAAATAAAAATATCTCAGAAATCCTAATTTCTTACAATATTATACTCGAACAATTGAGAACCAAATGTGAAAGTAAAAGCAGTAAGTTTTCAATTATAGTAAACGATTTATTTAGTTATGAAATGTTAACATTATTAATTTTACTAATTACTCTATTGTTTTAAATTAAATACATACTATATGTAATATTTTACAATGCTTTTGTGAAATGTTGTATATAATTATACATAATTGAAAATGTTTTCACAATGATTATGTGAAATGTTGTAAATAATTATTCATAATTGAAAATGTTTCAGTATCTATAACCACAAACACATTACATATATACCTATATACATAACCATGCATTCACAAAATATTCAATTACAAATATATATCGCAGACTTAATAATTACAATGATTCCCATAACACTGTAACTGGCAATGTCTGTAAAGTGAACTGATGTTATTGCTTTATCTATTAATAATTAATACTCGAAACTTTTTATACCAAACCAGAAAATATTAATTCATTTTTAATCAGTTACTTATGTATAAGATAAATTTTACTTTATTTATCTATTCTAAATAAATCTCTGACAGTTTACAGTTTGGATAGAAAAGATAATATAACTTTCAATTTGAGTAGAAACATTATAAATTTAATTAGTTTATGGGTCTCCACATATTAAAATACATATAAAATTTGCTGTTTCATTGCTTAATTCAAAAGATTCAATATCATTGAGTTTTAAATGATTCTTTAACTTTCCATATAACCAGCTCCATACTGATTCGTGCATCTTCTGCACTGTCGTGACCATAGCCTGAGAATTAAATAATTTCATATGTTCATAATGAGCATTCATAAATTTCATTGTTATACATATATACATATATACATGCAATAAAAAAATACCTGATTCTTGGATTATTTTCTGTAAATACTCTGTGGCTAACGTTTTCAGTGCACGTTTGAAAGGTAAACCAGCCTTATGAGGAAATAATATACTCGTGTCAACAACAAATTTATGAACAATTTTTAATGCTTTGAGATCAGATTCTAAAGAATGTCCAACCAAGATAGTCGTATCAGAAAACATATTCAGAAGAACTGCCTGAACCTGAAAAATGGTTGTTGTGACGTCTTTTAACATTTCTGCTGTAATGCCAGAAAACCTGAAATAAATATATAAAAATAAATTATAAGATAATATAATGCATTTTAAAATAAAACAAAGTTGATTAAACATATGCATTTGAGGACCTTATAAAATTCTACAAAACAAAATAATTATTGATGATTAACTGTGATTTATGGATATAAATATTATTATTTCTTGCATATATCAAACAATAACTTGAAAAAGTATAAGATTTTATAAGTAATAGAGATTTGTTTTTGAATCATAGTTATAGAAAAAAAAATACTTAAGATTCCTTGAAAAGAGTGTAATAACTTACGTTGTGGCATAGTCAAGGATGGAATTCTCTGGTTTAACAAATCTGTCATAAACAACATCTAAGTCATCATTTACAACCGTTATTCTAGCCAGTTCTATTCCCTTTGTCGTATACACCATTTCACAATCCAAAGCATATATACTGTCGTTTGCTGAATGACCAGGCGGTTTCTTAAGCGTTTGCACAAATCCAGTACGAAGACCTTCTCCAGGACCTATAATCCCCTCAATAACATGGTCACCTGAAGAGCAACCTATTGATCCTAACTCCAAACCGCAGCATCCATATATAGATCGGCCTGTATTACATGCAATGTAATTAAGATATACCATATATATATATATATATATATATATATATATATATATATATATATATACCATATATATATATATATATATATATATATATATATATATATATATTTGAAATATTTTTTGCAGCCCAATCACCAAATTCAAAAAAAGATTAAATAGAAAAATTATTTATTCCATTAAACGTTTCGACACAGAAAATTATATACAACCAAACCAGAAAAAACAAAATTTAATAATGTAAAATTTATTGAACACTAAAATTGTGTTAAAGAATAATATATTAATACATTAATAAACGAAGAAATAAAGGAGCACATATTGCCCTCCTATATTGTATGCGTTCAATAGCGGTGCATTATGAACACTGATCAAGGTTACGCAGCACGTGTGGTGAATAAGTGGGAGCGGGGTGTGAGAAACAAAAAAGGAATGAGAAACAGAGAAGAGAGATATGACAAACGAAAGATTCTAAAACTGTAAAGAATTACTTTTCATGAAATTTATAATGACTTTGTAACTGTCATGTAAGGGATGAGAGGAATTACGTTTGTTGACACAAGAAGCATTAAGGGATATAAATAACGACTCAACTATCTTTCTAAGGCCACAATTTTTCTCAATGTATAGGATAATAGGGTTTGACATGTTAAAAGTGTGATTGAAGTTAATTATATGTTCTGAAAGCATAGTTTTGGATTGATTTGGGTTTCTAGAATTATATATATGTTGACTAACCCTCTTATGTATATACTGGAAACTATCCCCAATGCAACAACTATTGCAATTATTGCAGTCCAACCTGTAAACCGAATCAGTAACCCTATCAGCGGAAATTTAGAAAAAGTTTTTCTTCTCTTAAATCAAAAACTCCTGCTGATAGGGTTACTCATTCAGTTTATAGGTTATATATATATATATATATATATATATATATATATATATATATATATACAGGGCCGGTCCTGGGGTCCTCAGCGTCCGCATGCAAGATTTGTTCTAGCGCCCCCCCCCCCAATAATTTTAACTGTTTTAACAGTTTTTCATTAAAATTATATAAACATTTACGTTAAGTTTTTTTAATTAATTTTTATTATTCTGGATTTAGTACACAAAAATTAGATATAATCTAAAAGCGCATAAAATACATCGATTTTAAATTTATTTAGAAAATCAGATTGAGAGTATCAGAATCAGTATCAAACGAAGAAAAAAATTAATAAGTACATTACACAATAAGCAGAACAATAATTCACAAATTTTATATGCATTTTGTGTCTCATAGTTAAGTTGGATTATGTATTATAATCTATTAAGTATTCTAGATTTTTTTTAAAAAAATATAAATAATATATTATAAATTTTATTTCCGAACCTCGTTTTGGCGCCCCCTAAGGCGTGCGCCCGCATTTTTTGCATGCATTGCATTCAAGGTAGGACCGGCCCTGTATATATATATATATATATATATATATATATATATATATATATATATATACAGGGTGGCTGATATGTTATGCAACAAAGTAAAAAACTATAATTTTGTCATTTTCATTTTAAATTTCATTGTTCAAAAGCAAAAATGTCAGAAATAACATCAAATTTCAGAAGCAGTTTAGATTTGTTGTAGTTGGCCATCTTTGGCACGAATTATGGCCTTCAAAAGGTAGAAAAAACCACAAAACGCTGCATGAAAGTGGCTCCGGGGTATTTTGGCCCAATGCCGGCGAGGCGCTTTCTTTGGATGATCGACACTTTGGTATAATTTAGTGCAAACCTTACTCTCCAAAATGTCCAGGGCACAAAAGTCCAACGAATTTAGATCCAGAGATTTTGGTGGCTATTGTGCGATGGAAATGAAGCGAGAAACCTCTTTTTTTAAGCCATTTTTGGTTGACGCGTGCTGAGTTTGGTGGTGTTGAGTCCTGTTGGAATGTCCATGGTCTGCGGCCGAAATTTTTGTCTACCCAGGGCTTCAATACTGCCCTTAAGACATTTTCCCGAAAATTTCGGCAATTATTTTGATCCCACGGTCGATGAATACGAGCGGAATGTCACTATCGGCCGTTACGGTGGTTCAAACCATTACCGTCGGCGGCGCTTGAGTTCTGGTGGCCAATCGAAGGTGTAAATTTTTAGCTGACCTTTTTGACAAGTAAACCCTATCATTTTGGTTGTTCACAAACTGCTCGATTTGGAATGACAAATATAAAGCAATCACAATATCACGTTTGACTTCCATCACAAATAACTCTTTTTCTGAATGCAATAGATACAAATGCTTTTGTTCGCTTGTAAACAACTAAATAAGCAATCACTGGAATAAATCTGTCATCTGCCTGGTGAGCGGTTTAGAAATGATAGCGGTCTGAATTTGGTTGCAATACATATCAGCCACCTTGTATATATATATATATATATATATATATATATATATATATATTATGTATATATAAGTATATATGTATGTATTATATTCATAATTTTTTTTAAGCAGTAATATACAACACATGAATGATGATTTTTTTTCGTCATAACTAACAATTAGTGCTATCCATCGCAATCCGTTTTTTGCAAGATATCCTCATCCTCTGAGCAGTTTTCTGTACTACTTCCAGATCCGTGCATTATTTTTTGCAAATGAAAATATATTTGCAATTACTTGCTTTTAGCAAAATGATATTTATATCTCTAATACATGCAAAGTTATCTTTATTAAATTTTTATGCTCATTTTGATTGAATGATCTTTGTTGAAGAAATATGTGATATAGTGTTCAGATAATTCTATTTTTTTTTCTTCAATAAAACATAAAATATTAAATTACTTATCTTTTGCACTGGTTTCGTCTAGCTATTGTATGACAATTTTACTAATTTTAAATTAGGTAAAGTTTGATTTTCATATGTTTTACTATATTTCTTATTTTATTAGGATTTTGCTCAATTCTCAAACTGTGCAAATAGCAAACCCGTGCTTTAAAAGAACCGTGTTATGAGGGGAATGGTCTCCATTCCTAAACCGTGTTAGAGTGAATAAGTTATAGAAGTACTGTGTTAAGTGGGGGTTACCTGTATTACTAAAAATAATTTCTCTTTCTGATTTGGTCTTAAATTGCATATTTTTTTTGCATAAACCAAGAAAGAAGTTGAATGATGGAAAATTGTTAACACTAGCACTAAAATTAGTTATGTGGGGTTTACATGTAGTACTAAAAATAATTTCTCTTTCTGATATAGTATTAAATTGCACTTTTTTTTTACATACAACCAAGAAAGAAGTTGGATGATGGAGAATTGTTAACACTAGTGCTAAAATTAGTATGATAAATTTCAATATCTAAATTACCTCTAGTTTTATAACACCTCCTAGGATGGTAGATGCAAGCTTCTCTTACTAATGGAATTCCATCATCATCTACAGAATATTCTTTAGGACAGCGTGAACATTGTCTGATCTTTCTATCTTCTGGTACTAACTTAGCTTTATCATTGTTAATTCGAGCTATACCAATAGTGGATGTTGGCATTGGATAAGAGTTTGTTTCTAAATCTTCTTCTGTCAATATCCATTTTTTAATCAAGTTGTATCTATGGGCCTCTGCAATATTTTTTCTCATAACAATCAAGTATAATTTTTTTGTTACATTAGCTGATAAAATTGACTAACTACTGATTATGTTTAGTTATATATAAAAAATCAAAAGCTTATTCAATAATAATGCTTTTAAATTATGCAGTACATCTGAACTAATTTAGTATTTTTATCCCACAAGTAAGTTAACTTACTTGATAATTTTTCATATTGCAGTGGAATAGTTAAAGATCTGAAAAAAATCAAAAAAAAAAAAAAATTAGACAAATATTTAGAAACGTACGCCACAGACGTAACTGTATTCATGTGCAACTTAATGAATGCGCAACCAAGCGTATTTTCACAGTGCCCACAGACGGCTCAAGTTTATGTTCAAGTATTTGCGCAAGCATATCACAAATGTCAACTGAGAAACGTCAAAACGTAACCTAAAAATATATCTTTTTTATTAATTTATATATTCGCAGCATTAGAAGAGAATTCTAAGTGTTCAGAGAGCTAATTTAATAACTTTTAATTGTCGATAACTTCATAAACTTGTATTATGAATTCGCTACAAAGTAAAATAAAAACGGGACATGTGCTGCCACACGCGGCCAACGAATGAACTTGCCGACTTGAATTAAAATAATCGAAAAGTGCTCATGCCTGCTCGTTTGCACCAGTCTGTCAAGTTTGCGCAAAAAACATCCCACAGACGCTACAGAATACATGTGCAAGTCGCAGGTTGCACAGTTATACAGTTACGCAGTGGCCGGCTTAATTGTAGGTTACTCACCCTGATGACATGCCATTAGTTGAATTTTGCAATTCTGCAGAAAAAAATAAGAATTACTGCATATTAATAAACTGAATCTAAATATTAAATTACTTTATCTATAAACATAAGCACTTTATGTTTACAGAATATAATGAAATATTAAGGGTTTACTTTATTTTTTACCTTTTGTGGCTTTCCTAATTTTTAATATAGTTGCCAAGCAGGAATTTTTATACACCTTGATATTCATACATTTTTTAACAACAGCTAATTCTTCTTCTTGTCCCTGTTAATGCAATAATACATGATCAACACAATATGAAATATTTTAATATAAACAGAATAAAAAACTTAAGTTAAGTTATGTAAAATAACCTAATTATGATCATTAGACTTTTCTTCTAATTTAACATATTTACCATTTTATGTGCTTTTTCAACATCATTTTTGTGCATTTCTAAGCAAGCTTCAGTGATATAATTCAGATATGCAAGTCTTACATTAGATGGTATTTTAGAGTTATTTGTTCCCAGAAGGTTTGTTGCATCCAGTTTTTTCTGATAAAAAATAATAAATGAATAAAAAATAATCTATGAATATCTATAAACAAAAGTATGTATTTTTTATCAAATAATCTCACTAGAACATTTTCCTTGGGAACATGAGCTGTCCTTACAGTACCCTTTTTTAAAGTTTGCATTGTAGATGAATCTGAATTTTGGGACTTTGGGGTATGAGCTATTCTTACTGTAAAGGAATTCTTCTCTATTAACAACTTCAATATTTGAATAATTACTATTAATAATAGCTACTGACAAGAAAAAAATATACTAATGAAAATATAATCTGAGAATATTCTAAAATATATATAGTTAATTTAAATACTAATTTTTTTGAATGGTGTAGGGTTATTGAAGATTACTAGATTGATATATAAATGATAATACAAAAATGATGATTTACATAAATATCAATTGTTTTTATTTCATACGAAAAATCTGCCACTCTCAATTCTATAAAAATACCTGGGATGGGTTTAGACAATGTCGGCCTGTCATTTACTATGCTTGCAAAACTTGACTTGATATTTGTAATTGAATAATTTGATTTTGAGGATGCAGAAGTTGTTGAAATTGGAATAGGTTTTGTTGAATTTGTTAATTCTTCTAGACGTTTTTCACATTCTTCAAACTCTTTTTGTTTTTGTGACTCCAATATCTTTTTGTATCTTTCTACAAAGGACTATAACAAAAATAAACTTTTATGAATTAAGGTATTTTAAACTGCCTAATTGTGTATTACATACCGTTGCAGGAGTGAACTTTTTAACAAGTTTTGCAGCTGGTCTTATTATTGTATTTGCTAAACTATGAGCAATACGCTTCTTAGTTGTAACTGCAACTTCTGGTATTTCAACATTACTAGATTTCTTTTCCTTATCCTAAAACAAATTTGATCTTAAATTGATATAGATATAATTAAGAATTTATGTACATACATTAATACAGTCCTTAAGTGAATTTTGAAAATTGTTCTCTAAGCTATTGTTATATTCCTCTGATATTTTTAGGCACTCCAAAACTATAGGATCTTTTAAATCAGTACTATTTACCGGATGATCTAGTTCTTCATCATCGCTTTCAAATAAACTGTATCCTATAATAAATTATATATGTATTACACTAACTTATGAGTAATGAGAATTGACATTTACAATTTTCAAAAATTCTTGAATATAGTAACAATAACCTTTGCCAACCAAATTGGCCTTTGGAGATGAATTTTTTTCAACAATCTCGTTTGTTTTTCTGCTCCTACTTGATTTATCACCATAGCTGCTATCTTTATTCTTGATTTTATTTTCACTAGAACTTTTACTATGAGATTTAGATTTACTGTCATGCTTAGATTTACTTTGGTGTGAATCTTTTTTATCACAGTTTTTATTTGATTTAGATTCATCTTTCTTTATTTTTGTAGAAGATGCTGATTTTGATTTATGAGAATGTGATGATTTATGGTGATGACTGGAACTTTTACTTGAAGTTGATTTGCTTGAAGAAGATTTACTTTTGCTTTTATTGTCTTTATCATGTTTCGATTTTGAACCTTTTTCATGTTTTTCTTTATTTGATCTCTCACTTTGATGTGATTTGGACTCATCAGATTTGCAATCATTTCCATTTAATATCTCATCAATAATGTTAAATTCAGCTTCAAGATTATCAAAATTAATATCTAGTTTAGGTTTTTTAATACTAAGTTGCTTTTCATCGGACAAATTACTTATTTCATTTAAAATACTAGTAGAAGATCTTTTCTGTGACTTTTCTGGGCTAGGTTGATATTCTATCGAGCTACTAGAGGTACCATGTGGTTCGTAAATATTACTATTTTTATTAGAATTATGATGTAATGAAGGCTTATATGTATGAGTTTTATCATTATCAACATCTTGTTGTAAAACATTTGTATTCAAGGGCTCATAAGTATTTTCATTCTTTTTCACTTGGGCACTAGAAGAAGGCTTGTAATCCGTTTTATCAATTGTCTTATCTTCTTGATTAGATGCACTTCTAGGTTCATATTTATTTTCATTTAGATTAAGTTTTTTACTTGAAGTTGGTGTATAAGAAACAACATTATTTTTATCTTCAGAGCTTTTGCATACAGAAGGTATGTAATGCAATAATTTTGGTGAAGATTTTCTCTTAACAAGTTCTGTAGATTTTTTATCATCTGATATTACGCTGGGTACATAATCTACAAAATGTATAATTTCATATTTTATTATTTATTAGGAAAAACATCATATATATAAATAGGCCTAAAAATATGCATGCATTCAACCTATAAACAAATTTGATTATATAGAAAATTAGGTATATCATTATAAATTAGAAACTTGCACTATTTATTTACCATGTAAACCCAACTTGTCCGTTTTCAGCTTTGATATAGGAGTTGGATTATATTTACAATCCTTAGGCTTTTCAGGCTGAGACAATACGGGCTGTAATTCTGCACCTTGGAACGCGCCGCTTTTAATTTGCCGCAAAACATTGTGATATTGTTTGGATAACAAAGCTTCTTTTATAACAGGATCATTCAAATGTTCAATAAGATTATCTAGAAATGATTTAGAAGATTGATGAAAACTCTCATTTTAAATTCTACTTTTTGAATCACAGTTTTTACCATTTTTAGTGTGCAAAAAATGACAATAGGGTCTTTGACAGTTCACTGAAGAATCTTTATAATGCGGGCATATAGTGTGCTTGAATAATCCAGAAGACGGTAACATACTTGTTTCGAGTACATTTAAATAATTTATTTTGATATATTAAATTAAAAAAATTAATTGTGAATAAATGGAAAATGGGAACGGTTGTCAACTAAAGTTTCATTCTAACCTATCATTTCAAAGACAACAGTTAAGTTATAAACAATTACAAACGATTTCATGCGCCAGGTGACTAAACATCAGAAAACCAAATAAGATATGTCAAATGTGACAGTTTGACTTCGGAATTTTGTTAACATTTATTATTAAATGTGTTTTTATGTTCATTAAAATAGTTATATAATATATCTAATATTTTTTGTACTCAAAAATATTTAAAAATGGCAAAAATTGCAAGATCTTTTAGAGGCTTTTTAGAACCATCAAAAACTGTTTTTATTTTATGTGATATTCAAGAAAAATTTCGGCCTGTAATGAAGCACTTTGATCAAGCGATTCAAACTTCTAACAAGCTAGTAATATTAATTATTGTGATCTAAGTAATAAATTAATACTTACTACGTTTGTTTATTCTATTTTAGATAAAGTCTGCTCAAGCATTAAAAATTCCCTTGTTATGCACTGAGCAAAATCCAAGTGCTTTGGGAAATACAGCTTCTGGAATTGATATAAGCTATGCTTCTGCAGTTATTCCAAAAACGTCTTTTAGCATGTGTTGCGTTCCAGAACTAAAACAGAAATTAAATGAACTGGGCGAAGAAAAAATTGACACAATTGTAATATTTGGGCTAGAAGTTAGTATAAATTCACAAAAATATACTTTAATTCACATAAATAATAAGGATTTAATTTATTGATTTAACAGTAATATAAACTAATAACTATGACATTACATGCATATTGTCATATTTTAAAATGAATACGATGATACTATTACATTTTATACACACACATTCATAATCGGCATCATCAATTTTCTCATACGATCCAAAAATTTTATCAAGAAGGAAGAATGTTATTACATTTTATACTTTTTTGCCATTTAGATACAATGACAGATAGACATGGATTTGTATATAAGTTGGAAAGTTTAAATTGTTAAGTAAAAGTTTTAATATTTTAATTTTGCTGCCGTAATATGTAATTTGGTTTGAAATACTTTATACCTGTACATAAGTATGTCTTGCAAAAAACACAAGCAATATATATATATATATATATATATATATATATTTTTAAATTATATATTTTAAATTATATATAAGTTAAATTTTTATAATTTTGATGTTGAGATATGTTAGATTCAGTCTTCAGGGCAATACATCAATTAAAAACTTGTATGACTTTTAAAACATTTTTATTGTTTCCATATGTTTTGACCCATTGTTTTGTGTTATCTTCAGTGGACTCTAATTTGAAAGCACAGATAGAAATTATTAATTAAAACTAATTTATGACAGTGATATGGTATAAAAACTTACATGTAATTGTAGTAAGTATGTAATTGTAATAATTAGGATTACTACTACTAATGTAAGTTTTTATACTGTCACTGTCTTATAAATTAATTTTAATTAATAATTTCTATCTGTGCTTTCAAACTAGAGTCCACTGAAGATGACACAAAACCATGTGATGAAACGTATGGAAACAATGAAAATGTTTTAAAAGTCATACAAGTTTTTAATTGATGTATTGCCTTGAAGACTGAAACTCATATATATATATATATATATATATATATATATATATATATATATATATGTTTTTTTTACTACAAATCATTAGGCACATATTTGTGTTGAACAATCTGTTATGGATTTTACTGAAGAAGGGTATCATGTTCATGTGGTTGCAGACGCAACTATATCCAGATCCCAAGAAGATCGAATGCTGGCTTTAAAGGTTAATTTCATAATTAATTTCAATAGTTTTTTTTTTAACTAAATCCAATTAACCAGTTGCTTTATGCTCAATTACAGAGAATGCAGAACATGGGGGCCATAATTACTACCAGTGAAAATGTTATATTTAAATTGGTTAAAGATGCTAGCAAACCTGAATTTAAATCAATATTGGGCCTTGTTAAGGTTGTAAGCCCTGAAACTGGATTAGTATCCAAAATTTAAGTTGAGAAGTAATTTGTGAAAAACATGTTCAACTTTTTTTTTCAGCACATCTAAAGTTTATATTAATATATTTTATACAGCGTTACATTTATTAAAAAATATATAATTATAAAAAAATGATTTTGTATTACTTATTGTCTAATACTTACATTTTAAATGTGATCATTTTGCCTGAAATATTACCTAGTACTGCCTCTGTATATCATACTTACCACACTTACCTCAATAATACAAATTGATAACCATTTGAGCTGTTGGTAGAAAGACTCATGAAAAGTTTTATTGAAGCTGAAAGAAAAAATATGCAAGCAAAAAATACTGAATAAAACTATTCAAATAAAGTTAAGAACCTTTTAATTGAAATTTCATTGTATAACAAGCCAATTCTAGACCATCATGTGACGCAGTTACTCGAGCGCGATACAAACCGGAAAAAGCGTTCTTCATATTTCCTTCTAAATTAAATCCAGGCTGTGCTAGTGTATATGTACCCTGTTAATAAATTAAATAATTATAACATTAATTAATAATTTAATAACGTCGAACTATTGCATTATTTTAATACAAATGCATGGTTGCTTCAACTGTAGGATATAAAAGCGTTCACAATTGACCTAATCGTTTGCAGTCGACTTGTACAAGTAACAAAAAAGAATGCACAGTTATATCGATTGTTAATTGGTAATAAAAATGGTGATTTCGACGTTTTTTCTTTTAAATGTTGAAGATATCTCAATAATTTATCTTCATTTAATAAATATTTTTATTAAAAGACTATTGATTATTTTAGAGCCATGCATATTATTTTCAAAATTAATAAATAATCGAAAACAATTTTGTTAAAAATATTGCTAATAAAATATTGCAGTAATATTCTGATTAACGTTGCTTCATTTAGCTCTATTTCGATTGAGCGCTTTTTTTCCGGGATAAAACCCGGAAAAATTGCACATATAAAATATGGGTTAATGTAAAAGAAATAGTGGAATAAGCAAAGTAAATGGCTTAGATGAAATAAATGTCGAAGAAATAGTTGAAAAAAAAAAACAGCATCGCAGCTAGTCTTTCTAACAATGGTCTGAGCAAGAAGAAAAAAAAATGGTAATAGCTTCGATTGATTTTGGAGAAGAGCAAATAAAACTTTCCGAACGCAGAAGGCGTTTATGACAAAAAGGCATAAAATTTGAATAAACTGAGCGATCCAACTGAATTTTATCAGTTTTAGTTATCAAAATACTCAGTTGATAAGTTTAATAATCTTCTGAAAACTAAACATCATCTAAAGCGCTTATTTACTTGTTAAGATATCCCGTTTAGATATATCTAAAATTAGTCATTGCCAAACCAACCTAATCCGAAACTAATTATACTATAATTGAATTGGGACATTTAAAGATTCAAGATTTTGATATATTATTATTGCGCTTTTCATTAATTCATAAATTTTTGAGTTACGAAGCATTCTGAAATTACACTGACTTGCCCAGTAAATTTACTGAGAAAAACTCTGGAAAATTTTACAGCTTTGCCATAGATTTGTATAGTACTATGTATTTTCTCTCGAAAACTATTGTATTTTCAAATTTTAATTTCAATCTCTTTTTTTTGCTAAAAATGCTCTTAAAATTTCTGAAGTAAGTATGTACTGTTTTTGCACATCGGGAAATATTTGCACATTTAGAAAATGGGAGGGATGGACAACCCTCGATAACAGTAAATAGTATTTTGAAGTGAAAAGAGCAGTATTTTTCAATTAGCTTTTTTATAATTTCAATAAATTCTAACTTCAAAAATTATGACAAAAACTTTCATTGGCTGAAAAAAATGATCAAGAAACTAAAGAAAATTCTTAAGGTTTGCAAAACCTTATCACTTAAAGGTGTGAAAAATTGATGTTGACCGATTTAATAAAAATGGGTCAAACCGTTTTGGAGGAGTACAGCAACTAACATTGTGACATTGAATTTTTATATAATAGAAGGTATATATAATTTGTAATAGATTTGGATAGTTTACTTGTTCAATAGGACATCTGCACGGAACACCATTTTTCTCAAATCTCGGAGGACATTGTACGTTTTCCGGTTTTCCAAAATTGCAGACATCAGCATAATGGCATGACCCGACGCCATCCACACATGGGACGTGCACCCAAACACCAAAGACATTGCGTTGCATTGATACGAAAACCTGATTAAATTAATTATAATTAATTGATAATAAATATTCATGATCTTTTCTAATATATATTCAGATTTAAAAATAGCGAAAATAAGTAAAAATATAAATACTTCATTAGCTCTTTTTTAACCAGTAATCTGTGATTAACAGTATTCTTGTCATCATACATAAATAAACATGCTCGTCATGGAGAAGTGGCAGAACTTTGTGTCTTGACGAGCATTTGACCGTTAAATTGCAATTTTGAAGAAAAAAGATAAAACAAATATATTTAGCGCCACATATAACTCATTGTATTCAAGCAAAACTTAATCAAAACCCCCCGTATTTCCTATGTAGGCAGAAACGTTAGAAAATTTAAAGCATTCATCAGCAATAAATGATTTAATAAAGCAGTTTGGCAAAAATAGTGTATACTGAATTTGAATTCTTTGTAGAAAATTAGGATAAGTGAAGGTAGATAATTATTATGAACAATTTTTTTTAATTTCATGTTTTTTAAAATTTGTGATAAATTTTCCCCTCCGAAAGGCCCCCAAACAAATTTTTATTAGGCGCCGCCAAAGCCAGTATTATTAATTATGTATAAAAACATTTAATAATTAGAATAGTCTATTACTAAAAAGGAGGTATAAAATGAATCAATTAAAATGTAATCTATTGATAAAAATACTTACTTCAATCGGTGATTGTAAAGATATAGACGTTTTCATTGTACCCCATACTTGTGTGTATCCTTCATCATCTACATCCATTCCTACGTCTTCAAACTCAACAGGATCTCTTGATTCTTCGTCACATTTATCAATAATTAATTTCTTTAATGTAAGATTTTTCTAAAAAAATCAGATATATAAAAATAAGTAGAAGAATCATCGAAATTGCTCATTGTAGCTTCTCTTGTATTCAAGCTAAAAATGATCAAAGCCTCCCATATTTTCTATGTAGGCAGAAACGTTAGAAAATTTAAACTCAATCCTTTGTATCGCAATTTTTTAATATCTTCCAGTACAGTTTTCTTGTAACATGGATATAAACAATATATAGGTTTTTTGACCATTTCACTGCATGGCAATTTGATAATAATCTAGAGCAACTATTTATCAAGCAATGTGAATTTTTATAAAGTATATTACGTTGAAATGATTACATTTTAATTAAAATTTAAATTCTGCATATCCATATGTGAAAATATAAATTTTATCTCCTAATCATCTACTGTTAGTTAAAGTGATGTCCTATAGTTATTGATATAAACAGTACTAAATTTTAAACAAAGTTCTGTATCCATAGACCTTATACTATAATGTATTATAATGGTTATGCCTTTATCATCTCTATCAATTCTATCTATCACCGTAAAGTTGCTAAAAATCTAAGAAATTCATTTTATCAGTTTACTACGCAATGAATAATAAACTAAAGCAAGCGCAGTTCAACTAACATGCTTCTTGATGCCATATTTTTTTAAAACAATTAAACGAGTCAAAAATTCAACATATGTTGAAAGACAAATAATATTTAAGTTACGATAAAAAATATGAATTAGTAAATTATTTGTACATATGTTATTGACTGCATTCATTCTATACTAAATACCTCACCCTTGAAAATAAAAATCCAAATGAGTAAGACACTGTAATCAAACACAAAATACATAAAATAAATAAAATTCTACTGGCCATTATTATGAACTTAATTTAAAAAAACAATTGAAGCAACATTTATTATTAAACTATATTATCAAGTAATCATAATTTTGTTTTCAACACTTCCATCAACTCTTATTGTTAAATAGTACAGAACATGTTATCATTATGGCAAACGATTGCATTCATCAAACTTGTACAAATATTGCTATCTCGAAAAATGGACACACTAATCTATATTTAAATTAAGTTTTATTAACCCATGACCCCATGAGCAGTTATATGACTCATTTTCATATTTGACTGAACTATTTAATAAAGATTTTTCATATATATGAATAGCCAACTATAAAAGTTATATATTTGTAAATTACATTGCAATTGATTAATATTTAATGATAAATACTTATCGGTGCAAAAGCAATCTAAGCCTTGGAATTCCTTTTAGAATAAATAATGGAGCTTAATGAGTTTTTGTTTATATAATAATAACACTAGTAAGTTATTTATCAAAATTTTTGCTCGCTTAATTAAATAGACTAGGAATTCATTAGAGAAATTCAAATAACAATGCCAATACAGTATCTTCAATTAAACATATACTAAAATTGATTATTAACAATATGGTTGTGATTTTATTTTTTTCTGAATCTACATTTGAGATTTCATTAATCAAATTATTCGCAAATGATTGTATGAATTCCAACAAAAGCCATTGTATTTTATAATCATAACAACCGCTTTCATAAAATTATAAACATATTTATCTTTAATATTTGCAAATATTTACGAACTAAATATTTATGAATTATGTTAACATATATTGCATATTAAAAAGAAATTTTTATACAAATTTATAAAAAAATTATTGCGAGATAGTCTTCTGAAAATCTTAAATTGTTATTATAATGAAAAAAATTAGATAAAATTGAACTCATATAATAATAGTTAATAAATTAATATAACATTTGATTGAAATTGAAAGTGTTATTATATTCTTTAGTCACGAGTCACTAATTATTGGTGTTATGCAATTAAATAATAAAATATTACAAAATAAGTAATAATATTATACTTTTTATGCTTCTCACAAAATAGGTATTCTCTATTTTTACTTTTATAACCAAATTGGAAAGAACATTGCATTTGAGATTGCATTTTTAAAATTGTAAGAATTTATATTCACTATAGAATATAAATTACATTAGATATATTATTACATTATTAAGTATTTTGTTATGCTATCATAATATAATTTATTAATAAATTTATTTTTAAATAATATTTCATAATACATAATATACTTCCCGAAGAAAAAGTTTATGTTGTGTTGTTTATGAAGTTTCAAGTCATTCTGAATCATTTGACACCAAAATTGGAAAAACGTGTGGGTGTAGGTGAGCTAAATTTTGACCTTTGATCGTTTTTCGAAAACGGCTCTTAATTTCAAAAATTTAAAAGTCATTAGATGGACCGGTTGAATGATTTCTTTAAAATTTACAGAAAAGTGTACAAATTTTCGTCCATTCAATGAACATCCTAAAATATTATAGACCTACGACAATTGGCTTAATTATAAAAATTTATTAAAATTTGGAATGATGAGCTTCCAGGGCATATACCGTATTTATTTTACTAAATCTTATTTAATGCACCATAATTAACACAATAGATAATTATATAAGTATGACTGAAAATCGCATTGATTTCTTTTTAGTAAAAGCGAAAACTTTAATTTTTGAAATGAACAGTTAAAACGTTTATTTAAATAATGACCAAATCTTATTTTTTATTAATTAAGTCGATTTTTTACTCGTATGGGGAAGTTCAGGCAATTTGTTTTAAGACAAAATGATACTTATAACTAGTTAGTGCCATGGTTTCCAATCAGTGGATCGCGCCTCCTCAGGATGGCGCAAGGCTGTTCCCAGAACTGCAGTTGTTTTCAATATACTATTATCAAATATAAATTAAAAATGTTGAAATGATATGAAATATTAATAATTAAATAATTATTTATTATGTATATTTTTACATAATATTGATGCGTATTATTTCGTAGCCTTCCCGTAGGGTAAATTATAGTAATCGCAAAAAAATCAAAAATAAAAAGTTTTGCATATCTTTACGTTTCAAAGGTTTCTGAACATTTTGGCATACTTTAGAAAAAATTGATGCATGTGTGTGTGTGTCAGTGTGTATGGATACAGATTTTCGTCGACGATTTCGTGAACACGGATTAACGAATTTAAAAAATTAAAAAGCATTCGATTTGTATTGACGGGGAGAAATGATGATTAGTTTTTAGCAAAGGAAGGTCCAGCCGTTTCGAAGATACGGAGCAAAAAGTGCCAAAAATGGTAATTCAGTTTTAGAGATAACAGAGCGTCTGATTTGAATGAATCAAAAATCAAATATTTTATTGTATTAATGAAATGAAGAACTGATTTTTTTTTTGGGAAGGCAGGTCTAGCGGTTTCGGGGATCCAATAAAAAAATGTAATATGCCGGTCAAAAATGATCATTAGATATATACACATCAAATTATCAGATATAGAAGTAGCTGAATATACTTACTGTATAGTGTGCTACGTAAAATCAAACAAAACAGAAATAGAATAAAAAATATAAGAAAATAAAAAAAAACAAAAAAATATACTAAATTATCAGATATTTATAAAGATTTTGATAAAAAGAACAAAATTTGATCACATTTTTATCAATTTTTTTAAAAAGTCATTTTATTCAAAATTTTAAAAAATCTCAAAAATTTAATTATTTCGAAGTTTTAACAAAATTTTGAATCTTCTTTAGAAAAGGAATACTTTTCTGTCGGTACAGAAAGTTCCAGCAATTTGCCTTAAGGCACGATGCCGTGCCCACTTGGTTTTGAAAATAAATTGTTCAAAAAAATGAGGAGGGCTTAACCAATTTTTTAAAAGAACGAGGGCGCGGTACAAAATGGTTGGAAGCCACTGAGTGACTATATTCACAACAAAAATCGTTCAACTGGTCTAAAACGTGCTCGTGAGAAAATCGATATCAAAATTATTTTTATATCAAATAGTTATAGTTTCATGTATTTATTATATATGTGTGTAGTAAAATATTTTTATCTTTATTATCGAATAACTTGAATAGTTTTATTAACTTCCCGAAGGAGTAGTTTATGTTTTCATCAAAAAATCCGACTCGCTAATTTTATGTTTTCTCGACGTTTCAAACCATTTTGAATCGAATGAGACCAAATTTGAAAAAGTACGTGTGTGTGTGTGTGAACAGATTTTTTGCCGTAAATCGACGTTTTCTCCAAAACGGATGGACCGATTTCAAAAATTTAAAAGCCGATCGATGTATCTCGATGAGGACTAGCGTTTCTGAGTTTTGTGCGACGATCGGCCGGGCCGTTTCTTTGTAAATTGCAGAAAAGTGAAAATTTTTTCGTCTACGTTTTAGCCCGCAATTCTGAATCGATTTTAAAATTCAAAAACCACTCGATAGATATTGGTTCGCTGATTAGTTTTTGGTAAAGATCAGCCGGGCCGTTTTCTTGTAATAAAGTTAAAAAAAAATTTCACGACTTTTATGATTTTTATTTGACGGTAGATACCATGGTCTGTCTTGTAGATCATACTAAAATATTACGGCCCTACGACAAACCGTTTAATTTTGAAAATTCTTCAAAGTTTGCAAAAATTAGTATAGTTTCTTTGGCATTTGTTAAAATTAGACCTTTGATCGACGTTTTCTCAAAAACGCCTGAACCGATTTCAGAAATTTAAAAGTCATTTGATGTATCTCAATGAGGATTATCGTTTGTCAATTTTGTGAGACGATCTGCGGAGCCGTTTCTTTGTAATTTAAAAAAAAGTGTTAAACTTTTTGTCCACATTTAACCTCAAACTACCGAACCGATTTTATAAAATCAAAAACTGTTCGAAAGATATTAGTTGGGAATGATACTGATTAGTTTTAGGTAAAAATCTACCGAGCCGTTGAAGCCGATTTTTCATGGAACTTTTTTTTGGCGATATATATCATGGTCTTATAGAACTTACTGAAACATTGCGGCCTTACGACAAGTAATTTAATTTTAAAAAATCATCAGTTTGAGAAAATGAGTAGTTTTCTTAAGGTTTGTTAAAATTAAAATTAGACAATTTACTTGGTATAACGATAGAGTACTTGGTCTTATTGAATGTACTAAACAATTAAAGTCCTATGGAAACCGGTTCAATTATAAAAATGATTGATTTTTGAAAATTTGCTTTTAGAAAATACTCCAAGTTAACGAGTTTGTTCGTTTTCAATTATGTGTTATAAATCCACTCTGAATACTTTTAATCACTCATAAATTAATGGTTTTTATTGATTAGGTCGATTATTTACACATATCGGGAAGTTCATGTAACTTGTTACTATTACATTGGTGTATCGCGCAAATTTGAAATCCAACGGTCGTGTCTCGTCGGTGTCGGGTGCATCTGCCGTCAGACTCGCGAAACACGATGTCGGTAAAGAAGATTTTACGTTCGTAATGTCACAGCTGTCAGTGTGATGTGTGAGCTCTAGCGAGATCACAAAATGTATCTTATAAATAAGTATTTTTTTTAAATAAATTTGAGAAATGTGATCAAAATTCGTCAGTAAATTTTAACTTAAAAAATTAAGCAATCATAAAAGTGGTATAATATCTGATCAGTGTAAATAATGTCTACAAGTAGTGATTCAGATGAATTTTATGATGCGGAAGACAATACAATCCCAAATAAATTAGTGAGGTAATTTTATGCTAATTAATATAATTAATTTTATAAACAGTTGTCAAACAACATAATTAGCTATTGCATCCAATACGCAACATGTCTGTGATGCAAAAACTGCATGTCAAAATAAACAAATTTTATTAGTCATCTGCCATATATAAAGCATCTACTAATAAGAATTCTTGGACTTTTGCTTTAATCATAATACTACATAATACTAAATTTAAATTAAAAATATTATTATACTAAATTATGCAATAATATTAACAAATTATGCATGTGCATACATATAGACATGTATACACAAAAAATATTTTGTACATATTTACATACTTTTAAAGGTCAAATTCTTTAATGCATACCGCCCGATAATCATTATATATTTTGATTGAATTATTTTGAAATTATTATATAAATAAAATTAATGTTTAAATAGTATATTCAGAAATTATTTATAGTTTCTTAGTTTTCCGATTTTTTGCTATCAAATGCTTGTTCATTTTTTGTATATTTCATTCATTTAATAATACTTTATTTAATTCATGTATAATAATACTTAATTTCATTATTCTACATTAATTCTTCATTTCATCAATCTACAATAATAATTCATTTCATTCTACATTTCATTTGCCTACTAATTGTATGAAATTCTAATTGTAATATAAAATTGTAAGTTAATTAAATGTAATATTATTGTAGATTATAATAATACTTCATTTCATTCCTTCACAATAATACTTCATTTTATCCATCTACAATATTACTTCATTTAATTAATTTACAGTAATACTTTATTTCATTCAACTACAATAATACTACATTTAATTTGCATTTAACTAATTAATTGTAATATGAAATTGTACGTGAATGAAATGTAATATTATTGTAGATTACAATAATACTACATTCCATTCCATTACTATAATACATTATTTTATTCATCTACAATGATTCTCCATTTCATTCTTCTCCAAATTGTATGAAATTGTATTTGTAATATTGTAAGTTACAATAATACTATCTTTCATTCTCTTACAATAATACTTTATTTTATCCATCTACAATAATTCTTCACTTCATTCGTCCACAAAATTCTTCATTTTATTCTTCTACAAATTGTATGGAATTGTAATTGTAGTATTGAAGGTTACAATAATACTACATTTCATTCGTTTACAATAATGCTTCAGTTTATTCATCTACAATAATACTTAATTTCATTTTATAGTATTACTACAATTTTCCAGTGTGATACTACATTTCGTACTTCAACATATAATATTACATTTCATTCCCCTACTAATTGTATGAAATTGTAATTGTAATATGAAATTGTTAGTCAATGAAATGCAATGTTATTGTAGATTTAAATAGTACTACATTTCATTCCACTATAATTATGCTACAATTTGTTCTCTTACAAATTTTATGAAATTGTAATTGTAATATGACATTTTTAAGAAATGAAATGTAAAACTATTGTAGGCTACAATAATACTACACACTCCACTCTCTTACAAATTTGTTATGAAATATGAAATTGTTAGTGAATGAAATGTAATATTAAAGCAGGCTACAATATTACTACATTTTATTCACCTACAATAAATACTACATTTCATTATTCTACAAATGTATGAAATTTGAAATTATAATTGTATAATGGAATTGTAATTGAATGAATTCTAGTATTATTGTAGGGTAAAACAATACTACATTTCGTCCACAATACTTTTTTTTCACTCACAATAATTATTCATTCATTCGTCTTCAATAATTAACTTCCCGTAGGGTAAAGTAGGTAAAAAGTTATAGTAATCGCAAAATAATCGAAAATGAAAATATTTATATATCTTAACGTTTCAAAGATTTCTGAACATTTTGGCATACTTTAAAATGAATGTATGTGTGTGTGTGGGTGTGTGTATGTATGTGCGTATACAATTTTTCGTCGACGATTTCGAGAACACAGATCAATCAATTTGAATAATTAAAATGAAGAATTGATGAAATTTTTGAAAAGGTAGGTCTAGCTGTCTAGCAATTTGGCGTTCAAAAATAATCATTAGACATATGCATATCAAATTATCACATATTTTATAGATATTTTAATAATAAGAACCTATTTTGTTTGCATTTCTATGGGTTCCGTATCAATGTTTATCCGTTTAATGCGAAGCGGCGCCCACGCGCTTTGATATTTCATTTCGATTGCTTTAAATAAAAGTTCAAAATATTCAAAATATTTGGAAGTATAAAAAATTAAATGTTCAAAAAGGTAATTTTTTTTCAAAAATTTTAAAAATCACAAAAAATCATTTTTTTCTGTTCTGAAAAAAGAATTGAGTCTTTTTTAGAAACTTTAATTTTTGGTACGGGAAGTTTCAGCAATTTGCTTTGAGGCACAATGCCATGCACCACTAGTTTATTAATCTTATTCAGCTACAATAATTATTAATTTTATTCATCTACAATAATTTTTCATATATTTCCCAAGCAATAATTCGCTTCAAATAATATTTTTATTGAAGGGCAAATATTGATAAGTAGAAATCAGCTCTCAATGCGCTTCTTAAGATAAAAAAGTATTATATTTAGTAATCTTGTTTCTGAACATGCAGTGTGCAGATATTGATTAATCTAATCTATCGAAATACGTACCGTATTAATTATAATAATAATAATTTTTAATTGAAATATAAAGTAGGAAATCGAAAACGCCAAGATCACAGGACGACTGTAATGATGATGTAGAAACAAAAGAGCAACTCAATCTTAAACCAAATTCCGATGATATAACGCCAGAAATCAACAAAATTCATAAGGTATTGTCGCGTTGTTGATTTTGTTTTGAGGAAATTTTTAGATTATTCATCATGAATAAATCGATTTTCTGTTTATTTTCTCAGAATGGAAGACGAAAATTTCACGAACTTCGGCAGTGCATGCAAGCCGATGAAGACGATAATGGCCCAACAAATAATTCGACTCCCGAATCCCAAGGAAGTTCGGTCGACGGCGTTTTCCCGGCGCCGCGAACTACTCATCCCTTTCGGTTAGTAAATAACAGATGATAAATTAAAATTAAGAGTAAAAAAATTTTTTAATTATTTTTGGCTACTTCATGCAATCCATGGGCATTGCATACGAAACTTGGGTTTAATTTTTTTTCGGGAAGCGTTTGAATAATCTATTTGCGATTTTTGAACGTATATTAGACTTACCGAGGTAGAGTCAAATCCTAAAGAACAGACTGCATTACGTTAACAACCCATAACAAATAAGTTACAAAAAAGATAACTATGGGACCGATTCTGTCGCATAACAGAAAAATGTTATGGCAAGGCCAGGTCATGTTACACTCCAACTTCCATACATTAGGCTACTGAATCATATTGAACACTGTCAAAATGTTATGTATATGCTGTGCATTCAGGCGTTTCACACATAAACTGCAACGTCACTCGTATGTTATGGAGCTGAGTCAGAAAGACTCTAAGTTAGGTTTTCTATCTGACCACCTGAGAAATACGCTTGACTGCACATCAGCCACATGGCTTTTGTCAATATTTTGTATGGAAAGTTCTTCAAAACATGGCCTTGTCTTAACATTTCTCTGTTATGCGGCAGAATCGGTTCCTACATCTATAATTCATATTTTTGATAATTTTATACGAAACACAACGATCTCATTTTGTTATAACATTCTTTCAAATTTATAATTTTATTAACGATTTACTATATTGTATTTTTTAAAATACGTAATAAATCAAAATATCGATAAAGAATTTGCATCGAGAGACTGCTTTTCTCCGATCAGTGTAACGTTAATGATATGTTTTTCAAGGAAATAAAATGAAACATATTTCGTTATCAAACCCTAACAAATATCTATTTTAAAAAGGATAACTATATCTATCTATATCTATCTATATATCTATATCTATATCTATAAATTATCTATAATTTTTTAATAATTTCATACAGAACTTAATGATCTCAACTTATTATGATGTTCTAAATTTAAAATGTTATTAATGATACGTAATAAATCGAAATATCGAATCGAAATTCACGTTAAATGGTTTTTCTTTTCCCCCTTATTCAAAATTTTTTTCTTTTATCTTCTTCCACTCGAGAATTCCGAAATTAATATGTATTTTGCCGTCGGAGCGGCAGCATCCGAGTGAAAAGGGTTAAATTTGAATTCGTATTTTATATATGTCACAATCACAAATGTGCTGTAGTATAACCAAAAGATCAAAGAACATTTCTATTTCGGGTTGACCAAAAATCAAATCGGTGAACAAGATCGAGAAAACAAAAGTCAAGAACAATACATATTTATTATAGATAAAATTTATTCGTACTCACTGTGTCAAACTGATCTTTTTCCAAATTCAACGGTATGAACACTTTTATTAAACTTCGTTCAAAAGCATAAGCATCAATTTTAATAAATCCACCGTTTGCACGCCATACAAATATATTGTAATTACTAGATCGTATTACTAAATTTTCGAGTCATTATTTTGCTACAGGAATAAAATGGAATAATTACCTTCATAACTATAATATATTTATTAACGTTGAGTTAAGTTGCAAAAGAAAGTGCATTTGTTTATTATTATTCCTAGTAGATTCTCCGCCGGGCGTAAATACCAACATTCAATCAAAATGTTTACGTTCTCTTGCATATTATTAGCAATATTTTCTCATGGTTTTGCATAAGCACATAAGAGAAAAAAATACATAAAAATTAGTCACAACATAGATATTATAGAAAAATCTGTTTCTGACTGACATACAGTACGTATGTAGGTGGGTACCTATATGTGAATTATACCAAATAAACAAATTAAATTTAAAAAAAGAATTGTTTCTTGTTGAAATATTATTTGTGCAATTTAAATTGAGCGCGTTGTAAAAATTTGTATTTATATGTAATTTATATTTATGTAAATAATTGACTAGAGCTACTTAACCCAATAGACGAATTTTATGAAAAAATGCAACCGTGGAAGCATGAAGACAATCAGCATTATGATAAGTCAATTTATGAATGAAAAATGCATAAAGAGTTTGATGAAGAATGGCCTATGCTTCGGGAAGTAGCTTCATTTCTGTGACGGCTATTGGGCTAAGCGGTCGGTCATAATCGATTATGAAGAATGCTTTGAATAAAATGATTATTTGGTTTATAGGATAATTGAACATGACACGGTCAGCATGCAAAGTATGACGTCGTTAGGACGGATCGGCCGAATACTATCTGGAGCGACAGACCCGTCAGGTATTAGTCTTTATTTTTATTAATATTATTTTTTAAATCGCTTGAATAGTAACCAGAACTTAAGTGCTGATTTGATTAAGTTGTGGGTTTTGCAGAAGGCGGCTCAAAAAGTTGTCTCATCTCTGTGTGATAAATTTTATTATTACAATTTTTGTAATAGGGCGATGCAGCATTGCCGAATGAGAGCTATTTTTACTTGGAAGCATATTTATATCTATATTTCCAAGTGAAAACCGTTGTCATCACTGCTTGACGTCAGGCTGCTCGAAGCTGATACCGAACCAGGAACCTCTGATTCAGATCACGTCGCTTTAGTCGCTTACGTCCTTGTATGAATTATCCGCCGTGAAAAAGTGATAATAAATATCACTTCCTGGATTTGTGATAATTATAAGATTGAAATCAGAAATTCCACGTTCGATATTCAGCCTCGGATAGCCTATTGTCAAACAGTAATGATTTGTAGATATAAATGGCAATATGTTTTCAGTAAAAAATAAGCATTGCCGACATTGCTGCATCCAATTCATGCATTCATGCTTCAGTAATACCTTTCAATAAAATCGTTCAAAACACTATTGTGTTAAATTATTAATGCTAAATTATTAATCTCTAAGACAAAGAAAGTATTCATTTAATATGCGTTTACACTAGATGGGTTCTAATATTCTCAGATTTGTAATTATTTTTTTGACTTTATATTAGCCTATTAGTTATTTTTGTTTATATTGTTTTAGTCAATTTATATTATTTGCTTCATATTGCTATTTTTCAGGTACGAGTGTTGGTCGAGACCCGTCATTACTACCAGCAACATCGGCATCTATTGTATCTTTATGTTCGAAAGACTCAAAAGATTCTGAATCCATTCACTCAAGTACAAAAAATATAGAATGCGCCACTAACGGCGTGAAAAATGCTCAATCCAGAAATGAAATATTGACTTCTACCGGATCGAAACAGACTAATAATTCTTCAGGGCCAGAAATAACGCAAATGTGTACGCAAAATGTTCCTGATACAGACCATTCGCGGTATGATGGTGATGGTAATGGTAATATAGAGTCGAGACAACTGCAAGAACCAGATGTAATTGCAAGTACAAAGAGTAACAATAAGAATAAAGACAAAGACGATGGTTCACCTGGACCAGTTGCGCCGCCGAGGAAAAAGAAGAAACATCGGACGGCATCTCTCAGTAATGAAGATCGCATGTATAATGACCGGGTTAAGAAGGATGGTAAACACAGTCTTAATGTTGAAGTAAGTTTGAAAATATTAGATATGGATTTGAATAAAATTCTTGTTTTCTAAGATAAATTAGAATATGTTAACTCGTTTTTTGTTTTGTTTCACCACATTAGTCTAAAGTTGAATCCATAATAAGAAATAATTAAGGGATATTCTAGGTGTTTAGAGACATGAACTTTATGCAATTTTTGAAAGGCCACAAAAAGAGGCAAAATATTTTTTCACTATATTTTTTTATGTATGTAATTCATTAACGTTTTGAGGTTATATAAAAAAAATTAAAAATAGTCAAAGTTTGAATTCTAAAAGGTAATATACCAATGATTTTAGCTCTCCAAATAATCTGAAGAAAAGTATGTATACATAATATTGTTAATGTATCGTATGAACTATGGACAAGTTGAATTTTTTTTGTTTCACAAAATAGCAACTGTCTGATTTTTTTTATATTTTCGAATTTTTAAAAAAATAGTTACAATATGAATTTGGAGATGAGCGTAGTCCATACTGAAGAGAAGTCTATTAAGAAGATATTGAAAAATTTAAAGTAAATCGGAAATCTTGGGTATCGTATCAAAAAAGACAATTTCGAGAAAAACATCTTTAAAGTTTAGCAGAGGAAGGAAATAGTAGGATAATTGTGGTTAAACAGATGTATCTCTGAAAATAATCTAAATTATGAAAACTAACTTCTCTTGTAGTTGTACACGAATTTTTGAATAGCCAATTTTTGAAAATATCGAAATATAATAATTTGAATGAAATCCGTTGCATTTAATTGCAGGCTTCGTCATTGAATGATTTCAATCCACAAAGTGGTAGTCCATTACCAAGTCCAGCTAGTACCATCGAATCCCTAACCAGAGAGTTAGAACACTCACTTGATGTCACAAATTCTAACAAAAAGATATCGAACCATCAAGTTAATGATAAATCTAGTCATCAAAGTATAAATTCCTTTTTATCTAATAGCAAAAACAATGTTAATGGATCAAACGGTGTTAGTCATACGAACAATCATAATAATGCAATTATTTTTGATAAATTTAGAAATGGTAGCGGGTTGTCGAGATCTAACACCACAATGAGGTCACTTGATTTGTGGATGGCAACAAAAGGTAAAATCATTTACAACATATTATATATATAATATATATATATATATATATATATATATATGTATATGTATATATATATATATATATATATATATATATATATAAATATATGTATATATATATATGTATATATATATATATGTATGATTTAGTAGTTAATTTTGATGTTGAAATATATGAGTGAGTTCTTGAGGGCGATACATCAAACAAAGAAAAGCCAAGATTTATAAAATAATCTTTATTTCCAAACGTTTCGACATTCAATTTAATGTCATCATCAGTGGATATTACGTTGGTTAGTTACATATAGAGAAGTGTACACAGCACTAGAGATTTGGCACTAACATTTATACAACTAACTTGTCAGCACTATGCATTTTTTTATATAAATTTTTTGTATGATGTAAACAGAAAAATGATAGTTTTATTGAACAAAAATGTAAGTAGAATTATGTAATTTCTGCCACGACTTCTGTACTTTGCTAGTACCGAGGCATATATGATATATGCCTCGGTACTAGCAAAGTACAGAAGTCGTGGCAGAAATTACATAATTCTACTTACATTTTTGTTCAATAAAACTATCATTTTTCTGTTTACATCATACAAAAAAATTATATAAAAAAATGCATAGTGCTGACAAGTTAGTTGTATAAATGTTAGTGCCAAATCTCTAGTGCTGTGTACACTTCTCTATATGTAACTAACCAACGTAATATCCACTGATGATGACATTAAATTGAATGTCGAAACGTTTGGAAATAAAGATTATTTTATAAATCTTTGGCTTTTCTTTGTTTGATGTATCGCCCTCAAGAACTCACTCATATATATGTATATATATATATATATATGTATATATATATATATGTATATATATATATGTATATATATATATATATGTATATATATATATATATGTATATATATATATAGATATGTATATATATATATATATATATATGTATATATATATATATATATATATATATTATATTGCAACTGTTTTCCTAATTCATGTGATTGCATTGCTATATAAGTATATAGATATTCATGCAGAAAATGATGTTTAAGTTAGGTACATCATTTCATATAGAATTTTTACATAATCATGAAAATTTAAAAAGGAATGAAGATTGGAATGTGATTGGTGTACAGCTAGATAGCGCAATGTTTAACACATGAAGCAAGGAACATAACTGTACAAACATAACATGATGTGATATTTTAGGAACCAGTTAGCTTGGTGTTAATCCAGCTATTATAATGATAGATGACTGAGAATTTTTAAGTAATTGATATATATATATATACAATAAAAGATCGCGTGGTTTACTGGGATGGAAAATTCTAAGCAACTGATAAAACTACACACAAATTTTCTTTAATGGAATTTATAACAAATCATTTTTATGAAGTTTTTGTAAATATTCTCTAATAAATTTATTCTATTGTAGGTAAATATGTTGTAAAACCAAATGATGAAGACAAGTCTCGTGCTGAAGGACCATCACCAGAAGAACTAGAACGAATTGAACGCCTCAAACATGAAGTATTACATTGTGTTCGGGCTCCAAATTTGAGTGGTCAAAGCGGCCATTCAAGTTTGGGCCCGAGTTTAAAATATTATAGTCCACAAAATTCAAAAGAAAGACGAAAATCAGCAGGAGATGAAGACCTACTTAAGCAATTAAATATGTATGTTCGCACAAGAACAGATTCCGGAAAGGAATTGACAGATATGGAAATTCTAGAACAAGTTACCGTATTAAATTTAGACACTGGCGAGCGCGTGCCACTGAGTGTAGCCGAAGACAAATTACCACAATGTATAAATCCTTTATCTTTGCATATTATGAGGTTGACAAGTGAGTATGTTAGTACAAATAGTCTTAATAAACAAGGAGAGAGTGATGAGGAAAGCATGACCGGACCTACACAAGGTATGGGATTAGGAGAAGGCGAAACTGAAAGTGAAGAAGCAAGCAAGTTGCGCAGAGGAACAGCTAGGTATTCAGTTACTGAAAAAAAAAATTATTTAAACCAGATATTTAATTATACAGTCGGGTACCATCCCGACTTACGAGTGACCCGACATACGAGTGTTTCAAGATACGAGCCGCCAATGGAGCGATTTATTGCTTTGACATACAAGCGAAAATTGAGATACCAGCTCTGACCGAGTAGGAGTTTTTTAAAAAAATGTTAATGACAAAATGAAAATTTGAAAAATTTTGTCAGTTGTAGCAATGATATTCCTAACTTTGAAATATCTTGGCAGTTTTATGATAGTAATTTATTTTATATTTAATCATGCCAATTATATATTATTACTAATTGTGTAGTAACAATTTACCCACCTATCACACAGTATATTGAGAATTATTTTAACATTTGAAATTTTGACTATACATTAATAGTGATTTTACAGTTGTATATAAAAAATATTATTTACTTTTATTATCCAAAGTAGATATCATGTCTCTTGAAATATTGAAACATGAAAATGAGCGTAACACATCATAGATATGTACTAAGATTAAACAGAAGATGTTGATGAAGGGTATAACTTGAGCTTAGGCCACAGTAATTTCGTAAGGTTCTAGAGCTTGTGGATAAAAATCTCCCCGAAAAAGTTCCAACGTGTCTTACTCATTTCGGCAGTATAATTCATGGACAGGCAAAAACAATAATTAAATTATTAAATTTAATAATAATTTCTTTTCAATATTCAAAAAACTTGACAAAAACTACAATGCTGGAATGAATTAATGGCATTTTAACGTATTTATAAAAATTGCTTCGAAACACAAACCATTTAGCATATGAGCGTGGTAACGGAATGAATGAAACTCGTATGTCGGGGTATCACTGTACATTGTAACTAATGTGCTTATCTGGTACTAGTTATTGATAAAGGCACTTTCCTTTAGTTATTATAAGTAGTCTTAAAAAAAAAGGTTTATTCATGTAGTAGGAATGAAAGAAATTGAATACTACTGATAACATTTTCAGACTCAAACGATTCCTTGGGTCAACTGTAAAGAAAACAATGGATAAAGCGAAATCAATAGCACATTCTAGACACAGAGATGATGTTACAGACGTTGATGAATTGTCAAGTCCGGGAGAACCTAGTCTAAAGTTCAAAAATTCAGCCTCTCACAAAGGACCATATGAATTTGATAGCATTCAACGTGTTCAAGTAAATCATGTTTATTCTATTTTTTATGATATTCTATCATATTTTAAGAATCATAAACGATCTTTTTCGACGACCTTTTTTGCATTAGCTATACGCTTGTCATTACTTTTTTATATTATTACAGGAATTGTCTGGACAGCATGTGGGTCCTGTGTGGTGCATGAAATTCAGTACATGCGGAAGATTACTAGCAACTGCAGGTCAGGATAGATTATTAAGAGTTTGGGTACTAAGAGATGCATACACATTTTTCCAAGTTAGTATGATTTTATTGAAATTAAATTGTGCATCAAATTTGAAATAAAACAATGGAATGCTTCTAACAAAAAAACTAATAAATAATGAGGAAGCCCCCCAGTCTATTGAGTTTTTTAGCTACAACTTTGCATATAAGACAGCCTGAAAAAATAAGCTAGTTTTATAGTAAACCTAGTGGTGCATGGCACCATGCCTTAACGCGAATAATGCTGTTATGCTTTGCTTATGCTGTCTTCCCAAAAATTTAACCAATTCTTTATTCTGTCAATACAAGTAAAATGCGTTTTGATTCATTCAACTCGGTTGATCCGTGTTCTTGAAATCGTCGAATGAAAAATTGTATCCATTTACACACACATACATCAATTTTTTCTAAGATATGCCAAAATTTTCAGAGGACATTAAAACGAAATGATATGCAAAATTGTTTATTTTAGATTTTTTGTGATTACTAGAGGACGTAGGGACAAAATGACATAGTTATTTGTTTTTTAATTAAATTTATTTCTTTATATCATCACTAGTCTTAATAGTTTCTACTTATCTACGGTTCATTGATTACTAGTGAGATAGTATTTTAATTAAATAGGAACTATAATAACATATTTATAAGAAAAAAAGCAACCTGTTACAAAAATGACATAGGATAAGGACATACTGAGATGCTAGTTTTTAGAAAAAATAAATCGTTTCGTCCTCTTTGGGACATCAGCACATGAAGCATGAACCCAAAGAGTACAAGTAATACATCGTAATCAATGGCCGGGCCTAGAACTGAAAAAAAGGGTTTTGCAACAAATGTAAGTCTATTCTTTTTACCGGTGGATTTTTGGCCTGTTTGGCCTGTAAATTATTTCTTGCATTCTTCGAGTAGAAGTTCAAATCCAATCACCTTTGAAAGGTTTTAATATTTTTTCTTTGCACTGTAATGCTTGCAAAATAGTACTATATTATTTTGTGCATTGTGTATGTCATTTTGTTCGGAATTGAACAAAAATGAATAATTAATTAAAATTCCACCATACACCTGATTGTTGCAATAAAATTGATTGAAATCACTAGTACTTGCATAAGTAAATTGATTACTATGGAAATAAATACGAATAGCAATAATAGATCACCATCGTGAGGAAAACACCCTCAAAATAAGCTTTCATAGCGCGTACTGCGACAATGACGCTCATCATCTGACATGATGGTTATTATGCGTTTTTTTATTTTATACTATCGCAGAAACGTTAATAAAACTAGCGAATTTTTAAACAAGGGCGCTGTTTCATTTTCTCCATATAATCCATTTTGTCCATATTTTCCCTCTAACTTGCACAACGGGAAGCTAATAATAAATATTAGCTATAAAGTCATGAATATTATGCTATAAGAAGGTATTGCTGTATTGATTGATATTTTGCCGGTTTAGTTACAACAATTAATTTAAAGTTAAACGTCTGTGTAATGTTCTGATATTAAATTTTCTTTATTGTTTTAACAGGATATGCGAACTAAATATAATGCAGATCAGAAAGTATCACCTACCCCATCTCAAGAGTCTTTAGTATCCCAACATTCAGCAGAAGAACTCGGAAATTTGGATGGTACCGGACCATTTATGCCAAGGCCTTTTTGCTCATATTCAGGGCATACTTCCGATTTATTAGATGTATCATGGTCAAAGAACTATTTTGTACTATCTAGTTCAATGGATAAAACTGTTCGATTATGGCATATATCTAGAAAAGAGTGTTTATGTTGTTTTCAACATATTGATTTTGTAACGGCTATTGTATTCCATCCCAGGGATGATAGGTAAGATTTTTAATATTATATTAATATTAGATTAATATTTTTAATATTAGATTAATTGTAAATATTGTCTGATGGAACAACAATTTCAGAGAGAATATCTTTTACTTGTTATCTAATGATTTTTTGTATTTATACAATTGCAACAATTAACTTATAGAAATAACTTCATTATATTTTCAGATATTTCTTGAGTGGAAGCCTTGATGGCAAACTTAGGTTATGGAATATACCTGATAAGAAAGTAGCAGTTTGGAATGAAGTTGATGGTCAAACTAAATTAATTACAGCAGCTAATTTTTGTCAAAATGGTCAATTTGCAGTAGTAGGTTCCTACGATGGACGTTGCATATTTTACACGACTGATCAGCTGAAATATCACACTCAAATCCATGTACGATCAACGAGAGGCAAGAATGCAACTGGAAGGAAAATTAGTGGCATTGAGCCAATGCCAGGTAAGGAATGAAAAACTTGAACAAAAATTGAAATAAATTATTAATACTATATTATGTTGTTTTGTTGCTGTGTTTAATTAAATAGTGTTTAAATGTAACAAATAATTAACGTAAATTATTATTTCATTCAGGTGAAGATAACATGCATAAAATTTTGGTAACATCAAATGACAGTAGGATTCGATTGTATGATTTGCATGAATTAAATCTCTCATGCAAATATAAAGGGTATATGAATGTATCCAGTCAAATAAAAGCATCATTTAGTCACGATGGTAAATATATCGTAAGTGGCTCAGAAAATCAGTGCATTTATATTTGGAAGACCCACCATGACTACTCCAAATTTAGTTCGGTAAGGATTTGTCAAATTCACAAACAAGCACTGTGTATTATTTATAACCAACTGTTTCAACTGTTCTTTATTAAACCATTCACACACTTTGTTTCAAAAGTATGTATAACTATTGATCTACTAACGATTTTTTTTTTCGTTTTGTTTAAATATGAAAACAATAAAGTTTTTCAGGTGTAACCTTGTGCTAAAATTGTGCGATTTATATTGAAATTATCAATATATTTCCAGGTAAGAAGAGATAGAAATGATTTCTGGGAAGGAATAAAAGCCCATAATGCCGTTGTAACTTGTGCTGTATTTGCACCTCATCCTGATTCTATTATTAAATTAGTGGAGGAACGCGAAGGAGCGTCAGCTAACAACGGGTCTCAGACATATTTATCAGAAACATCTAACAAGGTATTCTATTAATGATTTTATTGACTAAAGTCCGGTGCACACGACATAATATATGTGCCAAGAAAAGTGGCTTTGTATGCACCGGACTTAAGTAATCACAAAAAATCTAAAATGAAAATTTTTGTATATTTATATGTTTCAAAGGTTTCTGAACAATTTTGCATATCTTCGAAAAAATGGATGTGTGTGTGTGTGTGTTCGGATACAAATTTTCGTGGACGATTTCGTGAACACGGATCAACGGATTTGAATAATACAAAAAACATTCTATTCGTATCGACAGGGAGACGAGCTGATTGGTTTTGGTTATAATTACAAAAATGGTAATTCAGTATTTGAGATAACGGAGCATCCGATTTGAATGGTTCAAAAAACATTTTACTTGTATGTAACAAAAACCGATAAAAAAGAACTGATAAATTTTTTGAGAAGGCAGGTTTAGCTGATTCTGATATCTAATAATAAAAGCAAAAAAATGCCATTTGGCGGTCAAAAATTATCATTAGATATAAGCACATCAAATTACCAGAAATTTTAATAAGAATAAATTTTATTTACATTTCAATGGGTTCCGTACCAATGTTTATACGGTAGATTGCAACGCGGCGCTTACGCGCTTCAATATTTCGTCACTACGCAGCTAACGCAATTGCTCTGAAAATGTTCAAAATTTCCGAAATATTTCAAAAGAAAAAAAATCAAATATTGCAAGTCTTTTTTTCAGTAATTTCAGAATTCTCAAAGATCTATGTTTTGATAGTTCTAAAAATATTTTAAATCTTTTTAAAAAATTCAAATTCAGCCTTAGCAGTATTGTCTTCTCGACGTTTTAACTCAAATAGGAAAATATATGTATGTTTTTAATAAATAACTCACGAAATTAGTTTAATTATCAAGGGCGTAGCGTGCCTTGGCGGGGCCCGTATCAAAATTTGTTTGGGGGACCCCTTAAGAAGAAAAAAATATGTTTCAACTTCTTATTATAGTATTGCGAAAATGAGATAGGCAAGTTTTGTCAAACAATTCTGGTGCTCGATCTATCTAAATGTTAATATTAAGAGCTAAAACTATTAGAGATTTATTTTTTATTAATTTGGAAGCATTTGAACCCTTGAGAGCAAAGAAATTTTATATATATATATATATATATATATATATAATGATGTGATTTTATCGTATGGATAAATCTTGAAATTGCATTAAATTATTAATTCATTTATCCTCAGGTGGAGGACCCAATGGTGGAGCAGCGAACACGCGGCTGCGGTGGACACGTGTTAGTAAGTGCCGATTTTAACGGTTGCATAAAAGTTTTCATTAACAAAACGAAACCTAAACACAGCTCATTACCAGCATCGGCGCTCGCATAATTAAAACGATATAATCCTTAGATCACTAATACAATAAATTTCAAACTAACATTGTTTCGGTGTTGTAACATGTTATATTCTGGATATTTTGTGAGAGTAATTGTAATGTTTTATTTTTTGTATATGTATTGTAATTTGTACAAATTTGTTTACGGAATTAATAGTCGTTATGTATTTTTTATTGTTAGGTTTATTTTATTCATTAGAGGTTATAAAATGAATAATGTTATTATATATTTTTTGTGTATATTGTTTTTTAACCTAGATATATAATTATGCTTGGATATATTGTAAATAATAAAATAAATTTATATTTAAAACTCTGAATTAAAAAAAGTATTATATTTGATAATACAATATTTTTATCAGCCATTAGTTTTGATTGAGAAAAGTCATATATTAAAATTTCAATCATTGCAACTATAATTATTGTACTAACAATAAATTTAATAAAAAAATATATTTATAAACGCATGTTGTTTAAATTTCATTGCATTATATTTGTTTAGATTTTCCTTGAGGCAAGTTATTAAAATTGCAGAAAAACTACAATGAATTAATTTTGTTATTTTCAAGGCTTTGGTCACTTTGACATTACTTTCAAATTCAATTAAATGTTTTTGATAGGTAAATCGTCGTTTATTAATTATTCGAAAATATTCCACTTGTTCGGAGAAACGGAGAAAAGGGGCAAATTGAATGATTCTTCTTCAGTGGACAAAACTAATTTTTGTTGAAAGACACAAAAACGACATTCAATAAACTAAATACTTGATTAACGGTCATATTTGTGAAAAGATTTTTTTTTAATTTGAAAAATTAAAATGAAATTAACCTATAACCGACGAACATTCTGAACTGTGATCCCTACCGATGAATCTCTAAACTTTTTAAAAATATAATTTAGTTTTCGTTTTATTATTTGGATATATGTCTGTTAAAAAGCTTTCTTGTTATATTATTTGGTGAATTATATTAAGATTGATACGTTTCCTCGGCTTGTAATGCAATGAACAAAATCAAATTGCTGCCCCCCAATAATATTCTATTTCATTACGATAAATTGCACAGTGGAGACACTTTAATGTGATTACACAAAATATGTATGTTTATTAGACTTTGCGAATTTTCATGATGTCGGGTAATATATTGATCGAAATACCATCCATACCCTAAAAATCTTTAAGGTATATAAGTATGTATAAAAAATCAAAAATGAAAATTTTTAGTTTTTCATTCAGTTTTTGAGATAACGGAGCGTACGATTCGAATGATTCAAAAAGTATTTTATTTATATTGAGAAATGAAGAACTGATTATATTTTTCGGAAGGCAGGTTTACCGGTTTCGCATATCCAATGAAAAAAAAGTGAAAAAAAATGCCATTTGGCGGTCATTGATCATTACACATATACATATCAAATTATCAGAAGTTTTATAGAGATTTTAATAATAAGTACAAATTTTGTTCACATTTCTATAGGTTGTTTATCAATGTTCATACGTTAGAATGCGACGCGGCGCTTACGCGCTTCAATATTTCGTCTTTACGCAGCGTGATTGTTTTTAAAAAAAAAACAATTTTTCTTCAAATATTTCAAAATGTTAAAGCTTTTTAAAAAAATTCAATTTTTGGTACGGAAAATTCCACCACTAGTAACTTCACGTAGGGTAAGTTATTGTAATCGTCGAAAAACCGAAATTGAAATTTTTTGCATACCTTAACGTTTTGAAGGTTTCTGAACATTTTCGCATACTTTAGAAAAAAACGATGTATGTTTGTGTGTGTGTGCGTATGTATTTATACAATTATTGTCCACGGTTTTGGAATTACGGATCAACCGATTTGAAATATTCAAAAAACAATCGATTCCTATTGATAAGGAGACGTGCTGATTAGTTTTTGGCAAAAATCGGTCCAGAAAATGGGAATTAAGTTTTTGAAAGAACAGAGCATCCGATTTGAATGATTAAAAAGCATTCAATTTGAAATAATGGGGAGAAGTGATAAATAGTTTTTGGCAAAGATAGGTCCAGCCGTTTCGGATATACGGAGCTAAATTTGCAAAAAATGGAAGTTTTTGAGAGAACAAAACATCCGATTTGAATTATTCAAAAAACCTTATGCTTGTATTGACAAAACGATTGTTTCTGGAAAAATAAAAAAATGATCAGTTACATTTTTTCATTTGATTAACTTCCCGCAGGGTAAGTTATTGTAATGGGCCGAAAATTGAAATTGAAAATTTTTACATTTTTCGACGTTTTGAAGGTTTCTGAACATTTTGGCATACCTCAGAAAAAATGGAAGTGTGTGTGTGTGTATGTATGTATAGATACAAATTTCCAGTCACGTTTTCGGGCGCACGGATCAACCGATTTGAATGGTTCTAAAAACATTCGATTTCTATTGATAGAGAGATGTGCTGATTAGTTTTTGGCAAAGGCAGGTCCTGCCGTTACGGAGATAAAGAGCAAAGAGTGCAAAAAATAGAAATCGAGTTTTTGAGAGAACGTAGCATCCGATTTGAATGATCTAAAAAACATTCAATTAGTAATGATTGGGAGAAGTGTTTATTAGTTTTTGGCAAAGGCAGGCCCAGCCATTTCGAAGATACGGATCTAAATGTGTAAAAAATGGCAGTTTTTGAGAGAACTAAGCGTCCGATTTTAAATGATTCAAAGAACTTTCTGCTTGTCTTAACAAAATAATTTATTTTGGAAAAAAAATCTTTTGTTTCAACTTTTTTTTTTTCAAAAAAAATTTTTTGTATATCGTAAATAATTCAGTTTTATTTTTAATTCTGACTATAGTTCTAATATACTTTAAACAAATAATTTCAACTTTGCAATTCAGTTTATATAATTCTTATAAATATTAGACAATGTTACAATATTAATAATAATCCATTTGAAAACATTCAATATTCCTCGAACATTTCGTTACGGTACGGGAAATACCAGCAATTTGCCTTAAGGCACGATGCCATACACCACTAATTTCAATATTAATTAATTAACTAAAATCTATTTTTTTATACAAATTCTTACTAATCAATTGGAATAATATGAGAATATGTCTTTAACAATGTGAATAAAATGGTACTGAAGGTGACTTTAGATTTATGTCCTTGGCAAATAAAAGCTACATGCTGAATAAGTCCTTGGCAAAGGGTTTTTTCTGCTATTGTATAATAAAATCCACATAATATAATAATAATTTTCATAAATAACAAACAGCCCTCTAGCACAAGTCACGGTCCTTCTATCGAGGATACGTCGTCGTACATTTAGTTTAGTATATGCGTGCTGTGTCCCTATGTCCTTGTATTCCTGTGTCCCTGTATTCCTGTGTCGTCCTTACGGCGTCAGTCCCGCTCTCTCGCGCTGCTCCTCGCCTGCCGTCCCGCTTGCCGGGTGATGTGTGCATCTCACGCGCCACCGATCAGACAAATTGTTTTGTAAACTGATTAGAGACATCCAGTTACCAGAATTGGTTTATGCCTGTTTCTGGTTTGCCATTATATAACAATGTTATTTGGCAGAGATTGTGTCATACACATGCATACGAGCGAAACACACGCACGACGACGGGAGTCGAGCCGTTATCGCATGCGTTTTCGACTAAGAGACCGATTCCCAATTTCAATTTTATGCGACAAATTAAATAATGATTTTGATTTGATATACATATTTTCATTGAGAGTTCATTGATGTGAAGCATCTAACTTGGCGTGCACTAAACTTGTTATATGTTTATTAATATATTAAGAATTATATATTATGGACATACACATGTAAATATATATATATATATATATATATATACGAGTATATATATATATATATATATATATATATATATATATATATTTATATATATATATATATAATATATATTATTTTTATATATATATATATATATATATATATATATTTACATGTGTAAATATTATATAAATAATCCGATATTCAAATATTCCGATATTCCGATATTCAGATATTCAGATATTCAGATATTCAGATATTCAGATATTCCGATATTCCGATATTCCGATATTCCGATATTCAGATATTCAGATATTCAGATATTCCGATATTCAGATATTCAGATATTCAGATATTCAGATATTCCGATATTCCGATATTCCGATATTCCGATATTCAGATATTCAGATATTCAGATATTCAGATATTCAGATATTCAGATATTCAGATATTCAGATATTCAGATATTCAGATATTCAGATATTCAGATATTCAGATATTCAGATATTCAGATATTCAGATATTCAGATATTCAGATATTCAGATATTCAGATATTCAGATATTCAGATATTCAGATATTCAGATATTCAGATATTCAGATATTCAGATATTCAGATATTCAGATATTCAGATATTCAGATATTCAGATATTCAGATATTCAGATATTCAGATATTCAGATATTCAGATATCCAGATATTCAGATATTCAGATATTCAGATATTCACATATTCAGATATTCAGATATCCAGATATTCAGATATCCAGATATTCAGATATTCAGATATCCAGATATTCAGATATTCAGATATTCAGATATTCAGATATTCAGATATTCAGATATTCAGATATTCAGATATTCAGATATTCAGATATTCAGATATTCAGATGTTCAAATATTCATATATTCAGATATTCAGATATTCAGATATTCAGATATTCAGATATTCAGATATTCAGATATTCAGATATTCAGATATTCAGATATTCAGATATTCAGATATTCAGATATTCAGATATTCAGATATTCAGATATTCAGATATTCAGATATTCAGATATTCAGATATTCAGATATTCAGATATTCAGATATTCAGATATTCAGATATTCAAATATTCAGATATTCCGATATTCCGATATTCCGATATTCCGATGTTCCGATATTCCGATATTCCGATAGAGCTAAATGTACAAAAAATGGCAGTTTTTGAGAGAACTAAGTGTCCGATTTGA